AGGAAAATGAACTCTAGTGCGATCCAACCAAACTAAACAGGGTGTGAAAACACCCTAAAAAGCAACTCTGTCAGCCCCAACCAAGCAAGCCAGAGGCAACAATAGCAAGAAACCAGCTAATTAACAGAACTAGAAAACAAACCTTGGGAGAAACCAAGCTCCATCATGATGACTAGTCCTTCTGTGGCCAGATGTAAGGCAGAGCAGAGGCAGAGCAGCAGCCTAAGAGGTTGGACTGATTAAGAACTTTAAGCATCTGTCATGGAGAAGGTGCAGGTCCAAGTAATTCACCGGGCAGGTTTTTAGATCAGTGCTTTCCAACCCTGTTCCTGGAGGCACACCAACAGTACATATTTCGGTTTACTTCGTTATCTGCCCCATTCATTTCAGGTTTGGAGTCTCTTCTAATGTTCTGATGTGTTGATTCAGGTGTGTTTGATTAGGGAGAGGTTGAAAATGTGTACTGTCTGTGTGCCTTCGAGAACAGGGTTTGAATACAATGGTTTAGACTAACCGAAAAGATCAGTTCTGAGGCTTGTATGTCACTGGCATCTTTGCATTAATAAATCTTGTGCTTTTGACTCATCGATGACCATCAATGGATGTTTACTAGCTAGTTAGTGTACTATCAGTGTTGCGTTTGAGGCTGAAAGGGCATACCACATAAAACATATAATTGGACAATTGTCAGAAAAATTGGTGTTTTTTTCCACTGTGGTGACTCCTGATAAATCAGAGACTAAGCCATAAGAAAGTGAGTCCCTGTAACTAAAATACTTTCCACTGTACTCAGCCAGCCTGATCTCACACGAAAACGAAAGTATTTTACGTTTTGCCAGTTTAGTGGCTAGTTGTTGTACGAAATTGTACGATTCTAAAAAGGAGGCGTGGCAGCTATCCCCACCCCTAAACCCAACCGTCATTGGGGGATGAACAAATCGTACTAAATTGTACGAATTAGCCACTAAATCAAAAATTTATGAATTGCCGTGAGATTGTGTTGACTCGGCAGTGCAAGCATCAGGGCCGGATTGGGACTCTTTTTCAGCCCTGGAGTTTCAAGCCTTAGACCGGCCCACCTCAGTTCACCACTGACTATATTAAAATAAGCTCATTTCCAATTCAGTTTCTAATTACACTATCACGTCTTTTTTTTAAAAAAACAGCTGTTTTAGAACTTTAGATGTTCAACAACCCTTACAGTATTATATGTCATAACAATAAAAATGAAAAAAAAAAGAAATGTTACGTAGGCGAGGACCGAACCCGAGTTGGCAGCGTCATAACCTAACGTGCTAACCACTGTACCACATTAACCTGCAGGCTGCATCTTGCTCACGAGGCTAAGAGAAAATAGATTAAAAGAGCAGAGCTTTGGTAAAATAATGAATAAAAAGACTGTAGTCAAGTAAATAAATAAATTATTTTTAAAAAGTGTGACTACTGAGAGCAACAGATTCTGGAGCTAGGGACACCGGCCCTCGCGGCCAAAAAACGGACCGGCCCACCGGGAATTCTCCCGGTCCTCCCGATTAGCCAATCCGGGCCTGGCAAGCATAGTCAAAAACACATTTACTTGCACTGATACCTTAGAGAACTATACGACTAAAATTTAAGTGGGTAATTTTGCCTGGCCAATTCCAAAGTTCTTTGAAGAGGCCACATATTCATTGAATAAATTATCAAAAATTATAATAAAAAAATATGATGATTATTCCTTTCAACCTGCTGTACTCGATGCACTCTAGGAGTTGACGGCACTTATAAGGTGGAACCTACATATAACACACACATGCAGTATCTCCACAATAGACGTCCAACGTTCTCCAGTCTCCAGAGCCTATAGACTGCAGCTCTGCACAGGAAGTTTGGGCAGAAGTGAAATGTTCATGCCAAACTGAGCCTAATTTCCCTCAAGGATTTTTTCCTTCACTTTTGTCAATCGGTAAAGCTTGTTTCTCGTCACTGGCTTGCTTGGTTTGGGACTTGTGGGGCTGCACATCGATGGATTTGCTCTTCAGTGTTTGGACTTTCAGCAGTAAAAATTAAACCACACTAAACTGAACTAAACTAAACTGAACTTCTACTCTGAAAACTGAACTGACACAGTTTCAATTCACTAGAAATTCTATGTTAAGCTGCTTTGACACAATCTACATTATAAAAGCGCTATAGAATTAAAGATGAATTGAGCTGAACTGAATATAAGGTGGACTGAAATGTACATTTATTCTTATATTAAATATACAAAAACCACACCACACTTATGAGAACAGTCACAGTAAATAAAGTTTTATAGAAAAAAAGATAGAAAAAATAACATTTTTCATTTGCTGAAAATGTTTTGTTTACAGCTTTTACATTTTTATATGTAAGCTAATTTGGAGCAAAATCAGAGTAAATAAATATGGATGAATCTGTGAATGTTAGTTGAGTTCTTTTTAAATCTTCAAACAGAAATGTAACACAATTTGTGAATCCCTCTCAATGTGTATGGTTAGAACTATATGCAAGACAGCCAGAAATAAGTTAAGAATACAATCAAAAGGATAGACAACTTTCTGATGATTACTGGTGTTTCTTTCCTCTTCCCATTTCATGTCCATGTTTATTTGGAAATGCACAACACAAAGAACACACCTATCGAAGGATTACCTCATGGAAACCAAAGCACTGTTTCCATGAAGTGGTGTAATAGTCATTTGGTTAGCAGGATAAGAAGCAGTGTGTATTTGCAAGGTGTAGCATTAAAACATTGTAGAAGGTGTGGTCTAGTTTCATTCTACGGAAGCCTTGAACCGCAAGGGGGGGGGGGGGGGGCAATCTTGGTGGTGAACATTCATTCTGAAGAAAACATTATGCATTTCTTTACACTGTGAACAACATATTTTGATTTATGTATTTTGTGTGGGTGTCCAAACTCGGTCCTGGAGTGCCAGTGTCCTGGAGAGTTTAGCTCAGGGGTGGGCAAACTCTGTCCTGGAGGGCAGGTGCCCTTCATAGTTTAGCCCCAGCACTAATCAAACACACCTGAACATGCTAATCAGTGTCTTCAAGATCACTATAAGCAGGTGTGTGTGATTAGAGTTGGAGCTAAACTCTGCCGGACACCGGCCCTCCAAGACAGAGTTTGCCCACCCCTGGTTTAGCTCCAACCCTAATCAAACACACCTAAACCAGTTAATCAAGCTCTTTCTAGGTCAGGGGTGTCAAAACTCTGAGGGCCGGTGTCCGGGATAGTTTAGCTTTAACTTGCTTCAACACAGCTGCCAGGAACTTTCTAGTTTATATAGCACACAGGTGTCAAACTCAGTACAAAAAGGGCCGCAGCTCTGCACAGTTTAGTTCCAACCCTAATTAAACACACCTGATCAAACTAATTGAGTCCTTCAGGCTTGTTTAAAACCTACAGGTAAGTGTGTTGGAGCAGGGTTGGAACTAAACTGGGCAGGGCTTCACTCCTCCAGTTATTGAGTTTGACATCCCTGATCTAGCAAGAGCTTGATTAGCTTGTTCAGGTGTGTTTGATTAGGGTTGGAGCTAACCTCTCCAGGACATCGGCCCTCCAGGACCGAGTTTGGACACCCCTGACCTAGAAAAAGCTTAGCTGCATCCCAAATGGCACACTATACACGATGCACTCATGCACTATGTACTTATGCACTTACACACTCTACAGGATAGTATATGTATGTAGTGTCGTCCCAAATGGCACACTAATGTTTTTTTACTAAGCGGAAATTCAAACCGTTTCCCTGATGATGTCTGATGGTTGCCAAATTTTAAATAATACAAATAATACCTGCCGTGGCGAGGCAGTGGCGCGGTGGGTAGCACGTTCGCCTCACAGCAAGAAGGTCGCTGGGTTGCTGGTTTAAACCTCGGCTCAGTTGGCATTTCTGTGTGGAGTTTGCATGTTCTCCATGCCTTCGCGTGGGTTTCCTCTGGGTGCTCCGGTTTCCCCCACAGTCCAAAGACATGTGGTACAGGTGAATTGAGTTGGCTAAATTGTCCGTAGTGTATGAGATTGTGTGTGGATGTTTCCCAGAGATGGGTTGCGGCTGGAAGGGCATCCGCTGCATAAAAATTTGCTGGATAAGTTGGCGGTTCGTTCCGCTGTGGCGACCCCGGATTAATAAAGGGACTAAGCCGGCATGAAAATGAATGAATACCTGCCGTGAGTATTGCCACATTCACCATTGGGAGGCACTATAATCACTCTTGTAGGAGAATTTTGCTTTTACCATCCAAAATAAATAAAGTTATTCAACATGTGAGATCGATTGCTCCGCCCCTTCCGCTACGTAAGCAAACCTGCGGTCGATGAGTGCGTGAAGTGACCATCATTACACACTTCATTTTAGTGGCTGAATGAGTGCAGCATCCGTGTAATTAAAGTGCACTTATTATTTTTAGAGTTTTCAGTGTGAACGCACTACTTACACTATTTATACCTTAAAATGGCGTAGAATAGTGCCTAAGTATGCGATTTGGGACGCAGCTCTTGATTAGCTGGTTTAGGTGCATTTGATTAGGGTTAGAGCTAAACTCTCCAGGATACTGGCCCTTTAGGACTGAGTTCAGACACCCCTGTAGGCTACTTAAAACCAGTAGTTAAACCACCATTAGCATACTGTAACCAATTGGTTCCTCCATTGATTTAAAAAAATAAAAACAGACCCACTTCTCCATCTTTATCGGTTTCAGCTCAGAGAAGTTTAAGATGACTTGGTACAAATGGCAGAAAAATCATAAATTCAATAGTAATATGTATTAATGGTATATAATTGACCAACAGGTGGCGCATTTATCAACCTGATGCTGCCATTCAAATCATTGATATTTTATGAAAAAGGTTTTATTTTCTGATACAAAACCCATCATTTTCCGGTAATCAGATTCAACGACAAACATACATAACATTGCATTAACATGTTCTTTTGGTCACTGAGTTCAGAAACATGAAGTTTAAATCAAATGCATGACACTTAACGTCAAACCAGTGTTACAAAGCAGTGCACTTTATTCAAATTCATATATTCCTTTAAACACAGGAATATAAAGTATCACGTCAACCACTCGTGTGGATGCATTTTTACATACAAATATTAATTTATAACAACAGCATGGCGTATCTTCATATCACCATAGCATGGCTATAGCATGATTCATTTTATTGTTCCAGCTTTTCTTGAATCAATAGTTGAAAGACTTGAAATAAGATCAATCATGTCCAACAGTGAATACTAATTCTTAAGCATTATGGAGTCACATCTGATGTGGTTGTCGCCATTTTCTCTGTGGTTTTATGATCAGCACCTACTGCTTCAGCAACACATGTAAAACCTTGTGCCCTATAACAACAACAACAAAAAAACAAACACAAGTAAATATGTAGGATTATGTTTCTTAATATAAATGGGAAAATAAAACAGTGGTGTGCTCACTTCAGAAGATCATCCAGTTCTCTTTTGATCTTGTTGACCACCGGCGGCCCCTGGTAGACTAGAGCTGTGTACAGCTGCACCAGAGAAGCTCCCGCACGGATCTTATCCATGGCATCCTGACCGCTGGCCACTCCTCCCACTCCAACAATTGGCAGCTTCCCTACAAACTCACACAGACATTTATTTCCTTATTTACCGCATTCACTTTCTATCAGTCCAAACACACAAAAATAGATAAGTAAAATAAGTCTTAAAGAATTGAATGGTACCTTGTGTTAATGTGTACATCTCTCGCACTGTCTGAGTGGAAAGCTCTTTAAGAGGTTGACCACTGAGTCCCCCAGTCTCAACTCTATTGGGGTCTTTTAGAGTGTCTGGCCTGGAAACAGTGGTGTTGGAAACCATTACACCATCAACACCAACCTAGGAAAAAATAAGCATTAGCTAAAACATTAACATGGCAGTATTCTAAATGACCCAGTCATAGTTATATCAATTATATGGTAGCCTGACCTCCATGATGACCTCAGCTATGTCTTGCTTGTCCTGTATAGTAAGATCTGGGGCAATTTTCACCAGCACCGGCGGTCGATTCTCGATTCGCAATGAATCACGCTCTTTAACCACCTGACATCAACAACAAAACAAAATGAAAGTGTAAGTCTAGTCCCGGGCGATGCAGTGGCGCCGTAGGTAGTGCTGTCGCCTCACAGCAAGAAGGTCGCTGGTTCAAACCACGGCTCAGTTGCCGTTTCTGTGTGGAGTTTGCATGTTCTCCCTGCCTTCGCGTGGGTTTCCTCCGGGTGCTCCGGTTTCCCCCACAGTCCACCTGCGGTACAGGTGAATTGGGTAGGCTAAATTGTCCGTAGTGTATGAGTGTGTGTGTGAATGTTTCCCAGAGATGGGTTGCGGCTGGAAGGGCATCCGCTGAGTAAAAACTTGCTGGATAAGTTGGCGGTTCATTCCGCTGTGGCGACCCCGGATTATTAAAGGGACTAAGCCGACAAGAAAATGAATGAATGAAGTCTAGTCCCAAAACTATTGCCAATATAGTGTGTATGTGTGTGTGTGTGTGTGTGTGTGTGTGTCTGTGTCTGCGTGCGTTAGTGTGTGCGTGCGTAATATTAAACAAGTAGCACAGTGATTAGCCAAGCTGTTATACAGCCATATTGCAGTGTTACAAGTATGATACTACATTTATATAACTGTTATATAACAAGGTGTATATGTCTGGCTCTCAAATCTGATTAGCTGATAGCAGTGCAATATTCAGCAATATTAGCACTCGTACAGCCCCCTCACCCTTCTGTATTACTCTGCTTACATATAGTGACAGCAGATCAATAAACTCATTACAGTTTGAGAAATATTGCAGCTGTTGGACAACAATGTTCTTTTGAGGCTTTTTCAGTTGAGAATGTAGTTTAGATTGGAACTATGCAGTTTATTTATCAGAATAGTGCCTATTATAAATAATTATAATTTCGGAGAGACTGCAACAGAGAAATACTAGGAAATCTCTGTAGACTGATTTAGCCACTTTAAACACTAGCCACTTTAAATACTAGCTCTAAAATGACTTTTGTAAAGGTGCAATTGTTTCTGCTGTTCTGACGTCAGCTGCAGATAAGAATGAGTGGCAGAATAAAGTAGATCCTCATACATGAGTTTTTAAACTCATGTTTGATTTTCTTTTTTATATACACACAATTATGCCATCAAACTGTTGTATAAACACAAAAGTGTTGAATCATTAGATAAGATATTTATTGTCTGTTAAATTTTATGAATTTAATTTAATTAGTTTTTAAATAGAGCGGAGGTCTTCACACTGTTATTTTATTTGTTAGAGTTAAATGTGTTCAGATGAAGAAAGAAAAAAGACAAAAAAATGAACTGATCACATTAAAATTAAAAATTTGAGACAGGCTGCACCGGTAAACAGTATCTTAATAAAAATAATAAAAATAAGCACTCAACAAACTAATCCATCTTGACGGTCTCTAGTGAAGGCATTATCTACACACAATACGAATTCCCAATAAAAATAAAAATATTACAGAAAGAAAATACTATTCATGAAAATAGCAGACAAATCCAAATGCCCAATGCAAGCGGGCTGCGTTCCAGACCAGTTCAGCTGAATGACGTATAATGTCTCCAACATCGCCTCTAGCCCTTTAAGCAACTAGATAGCAACCGTCTTCTTATACAAGCATAACCGATTTTAAAAATCAAGAGTGTGATGTAACTGATGTGTTTTATGTCATAGAATAAAACGATAAAGTATCTTGAGTTTTTGGGTGCCGCAAAAAAGCAATTTAACCGAAATCCCATGCAAAAAGAAAAAACATTGACTTTGGGACGAGGGAACCGGAACTGCTCAAATGCTAACTCGCTTCTGGGTTTTGGCATACAAATTGACGTCATTTGTTCCTCCACTCTATACTGTAGAGCAAAAAGGATAAAGATGGATAAATTTGTGGCAATATCTAGACTATTTATTCCTCAAGTGATCCTGTGTATTTAATAAGCATAACATAAATTTAAAATGCAATTCTAATTGACCTAGCCTTTATCATTGTATTGAATACTATAAAGTAGTATGAGTTATTCCTAATTCTGTGAAAGGAAACCATGACCATGATTTTAAACATTCGACTGATGTTATAAAGTGAATTTAGGTCAAAGTATTTCACTAAATCTGTTTGTAAACAGGTTTATAAATGCAAAACTACCATAGTAAATCAATGCACAGACCAATTGTAGGTTTTTCATTATTATTATGATAAGTCGATTTTTTTTTTTATTGTGGGCAGAATTTTTACCGGTATTTTGCAAACAATATTGTACATTTCTAGTAAATAACAATAATTTAAAAAAATTTAGAGTAATATAAAATGGCTTTAAACTTCTCTAGACTAGCCATAATCAAAAAAACACATTTTTTTAATGAAAAAAAAGACTTTATTAAGACTAATAAAACAGCTGTGTATACAAATATTTAAAAACACCAAAATTAGTTTGCATATCACTTCTTTATTACTATGTTACTTTCATGATGTATTTTGAGACCATGCAAGAATTTGACATTTCTTTGTGTGATTTTTTTTTAACAAAGCACAGCTGGGTGGTATGTCTACATAGAATCATAGAACTAGTTATGAACACGAACCATTTTTCTGTTTTATGGAAGTTGAGGGCAGCTACTAGTTCTGTAAACAATGAAGAAATGTTTTATCTCTCAATATGCATTAAATACCTTGTCCAGAAGGTGGCGCAGTTCTTCCTTGCCCTGTAGATCTCGAAGGCCAGGAGTGTTGGGGCTGCTCACGTTTACTACAAGGTAGTCAGCAAGAGGACCCAGTGTCCGTACTCCTTCCACATAATCCGACACTGCATCTGGCGAAAGCTTGTTCTTTCCAAGATTGATGCCAAGAGGTTTGCCTGCTGATATTGAACATGAGTGTAGATACAGTCTAGGATGACTTTCCTGGCACAGCCACTTAGATTTATTCAAATAAGTAGGAAAAATCACTGAATGTCCCTTATTTACAAAGCATTAATGGAAATTGTTATGTAAAGACTTTAACAGTGTTGAGTGAAAATACAAAAAGAAAACTCATCCCCAGTTTACACTGTTGCCTTCAAAACAAATACTTACCTTTTGTTAGCTCTGATTGAACATGCTCTCTGGCTTTTAACCTTTCATGTACTGCAGAAAGGCCACAACTGTTGAATCCATATCTGAAATATAGACACACACATCATTATGGGTACACTAAAGGAAACACACTACACAAAGGTTTAGTATTTCACATTTATCAAAAAAAAGAGAACATTTCAGTGACACAGGCCTTGTTTCTGGGCAATACTAAGATATAAATATCTCAGAGTTTGATAATCATAAAAAGTATCTGATCACTGTATTATGACATCAAAACAATAGCGGTGTAATAGGGAAATATTTAATTAGTGGACTAGAATACATTTTTTTTATGACTTGTCAGTGTGAATGGCTAACATATTCTGTCTGGGTTGAGTACTGACCAAATGCATCTAGTCTATGGCGGTCTTTTAATGCTAAAAATGATCACACATTCGAAGCCATCCTTCATGGCCAACAATGTAAGCCAAGTGTTGAGATGCTGCAGTATAATATGGAGGTTCTTGGTTTAAGATCTCAAGCATTTTGAAATAGAAAGTCCAGACTTAAATTTTCAAATGCCGTGCAGCATTTGACATTCAAAACCTGCAGCATGGACAAATGCCATTCATTTACTTCATCTGGACTCCACCCTTGTTTGAATATCTGTGAAGACTCTTCACAGAGCCCTGTCTGGCAATATTGGTCTTCAACTAATATTAATGCGATTTATTTAGCGTTTAATATTATAACAACAATTAGAAACAAACTATAAAAACCACAATTAGAAACTTGGATAAAGTTCAAGCACACTGTAAAAAAACTAAAGGGTCTAACAGGTTATGTAAACTGTCAATATGTCTGTCATACATATACATAAATATAAATATAGCTAGACAGACAGACAGACACAGACAGACAGACGGATAGACGCACAGTGTATGAGTGACTGCCAAGTTTCCTTTGAAAGGAGCTGGCTCATCTGCAGCTCATTTGCATATACTCAATGGTGAACATAAACAGTATTTTGTGTGACTGAGACATGCTAATACCATCTAACTCCAGCTTGGATTACTGAAACAGCTTAAGCTGCACTTTTACAACAAAAATAAAAACAGATTTGCTTATGTTCTGTGCATGATATGCAACTAATTTGCAACTCAAAAACATTAGAGCTGTTAAAAGACAAATATTATTACAACATATTGTATATTCTATTAGTTAAAAATGTAGTCCCTTTTAAGAAACGCATACACTTATTGTTAGATTGTCTAATTAATTCACCAGATGAAGTGAAACTCAAACAATCACACTTTACAATAAGAGGCCTTAAGTTAATTTTAGTTTTTGTAGTTGCAATCATAGATGCACAACAAACAATACTTTTCCCAGCATTTATTATTAATAGTTCAACATTTAGTAAGGCATAAATTAAAAGTCAAAATGATGCTTGTTAAGTTAGGGATGAAGTTCATTCTTATTGTCATTCTAACCTAACTCATCGGTTGACAGAACAGAAGAAAGCCAGAAAGTCTTGTCAGTTGTGTAAGTCTGATTTTCTTTATTCTGTGAAAACAGCTGTCCTGAATGATGCTTATCCTGCTTACCACATGGCTGCTAATTCTTTAATTGCACAAAAGGTTGATAGAAACGAAAACAGCTGAATGGAGCATTCACTAAACTGCACATTATTTAGTCACAAGATGGTGGTAATCAGTCAAAAATGCCCAGCTGACCAAAATGAAACGGGTTGAATGGAGCCTATACTTAACAACGTAATAACTAATGTTACCAAAGGTGAATATTTACAGTAATAAATGCATAGTTCATTGTTTCTTTATGAAATAAACACATTAACATTAACTAATGGAACCTTATTGCAAAGAAATAAAGGCCAATATACTAAAAAAAAAAAAAAAAAAAAAGTTTGGAAAACACTATTCAGGTTTATAATGTGAAGCAAATCTTTTAAAAATTTGCAACAAAACTTTTAAATCCCAAATTGCAATTTATGTGCTTTCCATTAAATTGTTAAAGCAACTGACTTTTGTATTGGTAAACTAGTAACCAACAGTAAAGAAGGCAAGCATAATGGATAGAAGCATTATATGTAATGTTCGGTTAGTCTGTTTATTTGGCAACTTGAAGTAACACCTTGGTATGCTCTCTCTTAGTGAAAATTTGGTCATACCTGTTAATAATAGCCTGGTCTGACTCCAGTCTGAACACACGTGGTTTTGGGTTTCCATCCTGTGGTTTTGGTGTGACAGTTCCCACCTCCACGAAACCAAAGCCAAGTCTATAGAGGCCATCCACTGCCTCACCGTGCTTGTCAAAGCCTGCTGCCATACCAACTGGGTTCTGGAACTTACGACCCATCACATGCACTTCCTAATGGCAATAAATGTTAAAAGAAAATCATTCATTTCATTCATTCATTTTCTTGTCGGCATAGTCCCTTTATTAATTTGGGGGTCGCCACAGCGGAATGAACCACCAACTTATCCAGCAAGTTTTTTACGCAGTGGATGCCCTTCCAGCCGCAACCCATCTCTGGGAAACATTCCCACACACATTCACACACACACTCATACACTACGGACAATTTAGCTTACCCAATTGACCTGTACCGCGTGTCTTTGGACTGTGGGGGAAACCAGAGCACCCGGAGGAAACCCACGTGAGGCAGGGAGAACATGCAAACTCCACACAGAAACGCCAACAGTGATGTTCTAAGGCACAGTGATGTTCTAAGCTTTATATTTGTGTTAAATGAATCCCCGCTCTCTTATCGAGATGCTGTGACTGTCCGGGGCTATCCAGAGCTGCTATCAAGAGTTGAAGAAGAGCAAAATATTTTAATAGCCTTGCATGTATTTAGGCCTTTTTAAATACAAGAACTGAAAGTTCTGTGTTTTTGATAATATTGGAAGTTCACTAAAACCTGGCTGGAAATATTAATGAAGTAAATATTTTTAACTTATTTAATAATATAATTTTTTTCTTAAATAGGCCTAGTTATTGCATTAAACAGTAGTTTATTTCCTTTTAGTAAAGTAGTAGATTTAAAGTTGTGCATTTCTTCTTGCAACATCTTGCATCAAATATAGCCTACGCTTCAAAAATTTTTTCTTTGTTGAGACATGTTGAATTCTTAAATTGCACTGTTAGTCATTTCTTTAAACTTGTTTAATCCATTGTTTTCTGTAAAGCTGCCTCTGACCATTACATGTACACACTAAATGGTTATAAGAGATGTGTTTAAGGGATTATATGTAATATCCTTCATTTATTCTCCTAGGAAAGGAGACATCTTCACTTAAGTATCATACTTGGAGGGAAAATGCGCTTTAGGCATTTTAAAGCTTGAAGCATTATACTTCTGAATGTTCCCAATGCAGCGTCTGTGGATGGGACACTAAATTTTACATGATTGTTTCTTCTGACTGCCACTATGCCTGACACAATTGTTCACCTGATTTTTAAGTGATAAAAATGCCATGGTTCTCTTATTAGTTGAGCTAATTGGAATGCAAAACTATGTCCCATCCACTGCTAAGTGTATTCAACTATAAAAACTTCCACTGCTAAACCCCCCCAAAAAAACAGGTCTAGAATTATTGGGAAAAGCATTATACAAATAAACTTAACTTTAAAAATTGGAAATAATTGTGCAGCATTGACAGCTATTTTTAAAATTATGCACTGTAGCAGTCTATCACTAAGATTACTCACTGACCAGTGAGGTCGGGTCCTTATAGTTGTTGCGAGGCACAAGTCCAAGACCAATCAATCGGACAGCCATGAGATGAGCCGTCTCTCCTCCCACAAACCTCTGCAGAACTGGCATGAGTGCACTGGCATAAAAACACTCATCCCCTGAGGCTGTGAGGTATCCCAGGAACAGTGCACTGCCACATCCTATGATCTTTACAGCATCTTTCGCCTGTTTCTGCAAAGATCAAAAGAGGACACTTGAGTAACAAGAGTCTTTTTAGTTTCTTTTCTAATCCATTACCTGCTTAACTAAGACAGTGCTCTAAACTCGGATTTAAAAAGTTAATTCATTCATTCATTTATTCATTCATTTTCAGCTTAGTCGCTTTATTAATCCGGGGTCGCCACAGCAAAAAGGAACCGCCAACATATCCAGCATGTTTCTACGCAGCGGATGCCCTTCCAGCCGCAACCTATCTCCGGGAAATATCCACACACACTCATACACTACCGACAATTTAGCTTATTCAATTCACCTACACCACGTGTCTTTGGACTGTGGGAAAACCGGAGCACCCGGAAGAAACCCACGTGAACACAGGGAGAATATGCAATCTCCACACAAAAATGCTAACTGACCCAGCCGGTGTTCGAACCAACGACCTGCTTGCTGTGAGGCGATCGTGCTACTGTGCAAGTTGCAAGTTGTCATAAGTAATTTAGTCTCTAAGCCCTCATTAAAAATGTCCATTAATCCCTATACCAAGTTAAAATGCTTATTTAAAATTTAGCCTTTAGTACAGAAAACGACTTATTCTGACCTTTAATTAAAATAATTTAAAAGGGATAGTTAACATAAAAGATTGAGATAAAGTTGGTTTTATATTCACACACTCAGTGGCAACTTGTGACATACTCTCTATGTTGTTTACCATGGTACTTTGAATATTCAATCTGAAATCACATGCAAGCATGACTTGAAAACAACATTGGCACTATTTACTTGACTGTGAACATTGTTATACTTTGATAGTCATTGGCTGCTAATATGATTTCTCAATTTAGAACTTGAAAGAATATGTTTATGAAATGATATTAGGAAAAAGTCTGAATGTGGGAATATAGGACCAACTTTACCTCATTACATAAAAGTAAAAATTTACTCCCCCTCAAGTGGTTCCAAACCTTTATGATGTTTTTATTGTTCTGTTGAAAACAAAAGAATGTATTTTGAAGAAACTTGAAAACGTGCAACCTTTGATAATCCATAGAAGTAAAAATATTCATACAAATTTTATCAGTGGTTACTAGTCTTCAGCTTTCCTCAATATAGCATATTTTATCTTCAACTGAAAAAAGAAAGTCAAATAGGTTTGTAACAAGTGAAGGAAAAGTAAATGACAGAATTTTTATTTTTGGGTAAACTAGTCCTTTAAGATAAGGAGTATTTTGCAGGCAGCGACAATCAATCTCTCTCATTCTCAGATCATTTTGCTATCTGAATACAATTTCACCAGATAACTGAATATCTCTATTTGAAAATAATTGATCATGTTAGATGGATTGTTATGATTCTGCAGTAGGAGTGCATCTCCACAAAATCTAATAAACACTCTATAAACCTTTTGGGGTCCACCCCCGACACATTTTAATTGTGGTCTGTGATATTTGCAGTGCATTTCTGTATTTGCACGTTGTCAGTATTTTCACGCATAACAATCTATACATACAAGAAAAAGACACGATTAAAATAAAGTGTTTTATTATATCCAGAGTCTAACAGTATTCAAGTACAGTAATGGAATGATAAAAATAAAAGTAATACAAAAAATGGAATGGTTGTTAAAGTAAAATGTTGAAATTCTTATGACTGAATGCTTTAAAGGTCATTATACAATTACAGGCCTCAAAAACACAAGCAATTAATGATCTATAATCCAAGCTCAACGTTGCATATGTCCTGCGATGTGACGAAGGATCACAATGCAATATCGATGCTAAAATGATATTGTGCAGCCCCAGTTTCAATTGTACAAAAAAAAACTTTTGTTTATCATGATTGATAATTTATCAATTTATTTATTGATTATTTATTTATTTATTAATCTATAACAAAAATAGATCTAAATAAATATATTTATAACTAGGGCTGGGTGATTAATCGAAATCTAATCGAAATCAACATTTGGAACCAATATTCGCAAAAATTTTTCCTGGTCGATTTTTTTCAATTACTTTCCCTAAGGTTGTGGTCACGTGACCCCGCTCTGTTTGTTACCTTCATGTTACTTTGCACTACATTGATGATTGACGAAGCTGCGCCTGATATGTCTTGAGACGGCATATTTTCATCAAAATTATTATTTAAATTAAACTATTTGCTTAAAGAAGATGCAATAAATGCACCGTTTAAAATATTATTCACAGAATATGCAAGAGGTATTTTATTTAGAAGAGATACTGCTTATTTTCTACTTTAATAATGAAAAATATTAAAAATACCTTATTTTGTTTCCAAAAGTGCAAGTTATTTTTACATTTTTATAGGAAACAAATGAATGTTGGTTTTAGGCAATGTGTGTTTTGATTTCAGTTGTTCAGCATTGATGTTTGATAAATAATCATAGGTAGTAGATAGTGTGTTACCTTCAATTGTTTTAAAATCAAGTAATGCCCCCTTTCTTCAAAAATCTCTCACTGGTAATATGTGAGCATATTTACTGTACAAAACCTGTCTGTGAACTATGAGGGCAAAAAAAATATAATAATAATCGTTCATTAATCATAATCGAGTTAAAATGTTCAATTAATGGAGATTTTGATTTTAGGCCAAATCGCCCAGCTCTAATAAGAACCAAAACACATCCAAGACACAAAAAATTAATATTTTAAATGACCACAAAGCCTACTGAAATTAATGAATGAACAGAATCAACCTTAGGTAAACAATGTTTCCATTGGTGTTTGAAATAGGTCCGTAAGCTTATATTAGATGGATTTTAGTGCAGATAAACTGCATATACAACAGACTATGCAACCTAAATTGGGGTAAAGCTGGTTTTAAATTCACACATTCAGGCATTCTCTTAAGTGATAAAGTTTCAAGAAAAGTATTCTTTGCAAACTCCAAATAGGTGAAATCATATTAGCAAGCAGTGACTACCAAAATACAACATTGTTCTATGTCAATTAAATAGTGTTAATGTCTTAATCCATATTTACATACCATTACAGACTGAATATTTAAATTGGTGTGATAAACAATATAGTTTGGGTTAAAGTAGGTTAGATATTCGCACATTAGTTCATTTTAATGTTTACCACGCTATTTGAATAGAGTCTGAAATAGCATGCAAGGATGACTTCAAAACAATATTAGCACTATGCAATTGACTGTGAACAATGTTGTACTTTGATAGTCATTGACTGCTAATATTGCACTATATAAAATTGGCAAACAATACTTTTCTGAAATTATATTAGTAGTAGTAAGCAGAAAGTCTGAATGTGTGAATATAAAACCAGCTTTACTTCTATACAATATAGAGTGTGTGCCACAAGTTGTCACTCAACAAATGCGTGAATATAACTTTGAATATTCGATTGAGGTAAAGTTGGTTTTATATTCACACATTCGTTCAGTGACAGCTCCATGCATTGTTTACCATTTTACTTTGAACATCTGAAATCACATGCAAGTATGACTTTAAAACAACATTTGCACTATTTATTTGACTGTGAACAATGTTATACTTTGAAGATTGTTGACTGCTAATGTGATTTTACTATTTAGAATTTCTAATTAATGTTTTTCTGAGATTATATTATTGAGAAAGACTGAATGTGCGACTATAAAACCAACTTTACCTTAATGTATATTCGATCTGAAATCACATGAAGTGTCACTTCAAAATAATACCCTTCTAAAATGATATTATAAGGGGGAAATTCGGGATGTCTGAATATAAAACCAACTCTACCTCATTGCAAGCTATACCAACACTTCAAAATATTCAAAATAAAATACAATCAACAGATATTTTATAACCATAACTTAGTATTTAACAAAGCCGATTCAATGCGTTTGAACCGCAAAACAATGGAAACTGCTGAGAGATAAAGCTAAGAGAGCTGTAAACACATGTTCTGCTTGAGCTGAAGACGATTTTTTAAACACAAATTTTATCAAAGAACAGCGGCACATCGCTAATTCACCTTCAGCCGTCCCGCCATGTGTGTTGTTATCCAACTCTATCCAAACAACATGCAGCGCTTCGTTTTTCACTTCCTGAACGAACTCTCGCGAGAACAACATCACCACGCACTCACTCAAGAGCTAAACTTGTCGTGAGATGTGTTTACATAACACTGCTAAATGTAATTCGGCGTAATTTAATAGGTAATTTAACTTTGTTAATTGTGACTTTTGTACAATAGTTAATGTTAAGCTAAGCTAATTAAAGATTATGTAACTTTTTAATTTAAACTATTTTAAAGACGTTTAAAAATATATAACTATATATTATAATTATTACCATTAGTATCGTAAAGCTTACATACAAAAACTGCATAAAAACCGTGATTCTTTTACTTTTCCATATTGTTAGGCTATCAAAGTTCAATGGAATTGGGGTATCATCATAAGAAAAGTGACGACAAAGTTTTTTTTCAATTTTTCTACATTTCTATTAAATTCATTACCATTTTACAATATTAAGAATCGATGTTAGAAATCGATGAATAAATTTTGCATCATCATGGTGTGGCTAAAATCAAAATGTCTGTCATCCTGAATTGCAGTGTAATGGAACCTTTTTGGAATGCAGAGTCTTGGTTTAAAGTCAGATTTTGCATATATTTGAGTGCCTGCTCCCATTTCCCTAATGAAGTTAGTTCACATTCACTGTTTTCACAAAGTGAGATTTCAGATTTGCCTAAGATGTACGTAGACTCCCTGTTTTCTAGTCCTCACAAGAGTTTCCTAAACGGAAAGCTGCTTCTCAGCTGCTATCAGCTATGGCTTTCTCAAAGCAATTGCTCATTTATTGTTGGATTTCATTCGTTTTGATGCCACTTACAACTTGTACAGACGAATCAGAGGACAATGAACACCAAAAATATGATTATGGAAGGAAAGTTCAACAAATACGAGGAGGAAAAATGTATAAGTTTGTTCAGGAATCAATGTCATGGATTGAAGCGCAACAGAGTTGTGAAAAACATCGAGGATATCTTCTGAGGGACTTGAATGATGAGATCAAGGAGCTTGTACTTGCACAGTCCACACAAACTGGACCGTGGTGGGTCAGTCAGACCTTGATGTATAAAAATTCCATCACTGGTGAGTAATTGTAAAGCTTATGGTTTTCCTTCTGTAGACCTTCTGTACTTCAAAGAAGACCTACTTGTGCCTTAAATAGATAATGCTGAGTGCTGTTAGATGGCAAAAGTCAAATTGAACAAGATTCAATCTTCTCTTATGAAAAGAACGTTTGAAATCCAGAAATTTCCTTGCAGAATTACAGAATTATTTTGATTTGGTAAAGTGACGTTATTGCAATATTTTATCTTGTCAAAATTGGTTATGTGTATCATGCTGTTCAGGATGTTGTTTTAAAAATGGAAAAATCATGATTTCAGATAGAACCAAAAAGCTTGATGTCATATGACAACCAATCCAATATGTTGTTACTGATTTTAAGGACCTGCTCCTGTAGTTTTCTCTGAAGAATCATGTGCTAGCATAACTCTTGTATAATCTCAGTAGAAAATGTACAAAAATAGTTACTGTGGTGGTACCTTTTGAAAAGATACACATTGTAAAACAAATGCTGGGGTCCACACAATTCCTACAATCCCAAGTTAACTTAATTGTTTTTGCAAATGTAAGTGGATTTAATATAAAACAATTAGGTTCTTCCCCAAAATACTCAAGAATTGTGTTGATTAAGCTAATTTTAAGTAAGTAAATAAGCATATTTTTTGAGTGCATGTTTGGATCTAAATAGTTCATCTTAGTACTTTAAAGGTACAAAACAAAATTGGCAGCTTTTATAGCTTTTTTTTCAAAGAGTTAAACATAAACAGCAAAACAGAGTTTTTTCACCAAACTTAAGATGCTGCAAATTGTATTTGAAAAACAATAATTTAAGAAGTATACGCTAAAAAATACATTTGCGGTTTGTTCAAACTACTCATTTAAAATGAGCTGAAACAACACAATTCTTGCTTATTTTTGGAACAACATACTTGTTTTATGTTCAGTCCACTATTCCTTCATGTTGTCCCAACACTAATTGATTTTGTGGAACCTGGCATTTTTTCGCAGTATATGGAAATGAAATAAATGAGATTATATAATTTTCACAAATTTGTTAAATGTGTTTTGGTATGATTACAGGATTTGAGCTTGCCTCATTTTACCCTTATAAAAAGGACGGCAGTGCTGAAAATCACCTTGCTTGCGCTTATTTAGTCAAAGATCCATTTCAGCTACTGACCACACCCAACTGCAGCATGAGCTTTAGTTCCATCTGCACGCAAGGTATCAAAATAATTCAATCTCCTCTTCTCAACACATATAAAACAATAAAGCTATTTTATTACTTAGTGTTGATCAAAAAAACTCATGATTTTTTAAGAAAATAGAACAAATCTTATATTGTGGTTATGTTGTTACAGATTTAAATGCTCATCAGAAATCAAGTGAAGAAACCAGAAGGAAGCGCAGAGGTGTTACTGACATATTATCAGCATTGCATGGCAATGTAGGAACTGACCAGCTTTTGACGGTTGGTGAGATTATTCAGGTTAAGAAATTGGCCTTTTGCAGTCCACATCTGTTTCATAAAAAGTAGGACTTGATAAAAAATAAATAAATGACAAAAAAGCCCAAATAAAGAAAACAAATAACTTTGTGTTTAATAGATGTCTAATAGACATTTAAACGTACAGCTTGTCAAAAATGAGGCTAAACTTGGGCTGTCAGTGAAAATCTATTCATCTAAGAATAGCCCAAAACTAGACTAGTCGTCAAATAGACAGATTAGACAGAATATGTGTAGTCATTCATTTCTGTTCATTTGATGTCTAATCTAGACGTCTATTAGATTTTCACTGACATCTTAAATTTAGCCTTGTTTTAGCCAAAACGACTATGTTTAGACGTCTGTTAGACATCTTTTAAAAACAAAAAATGTTTGCTGGGTACTATAGTGATTCATAATAAATACAATAGTGTTTCAGAACCATGCTACAGTAAAGTCTTTTACTCTGTAAATATTATAGTATTTACACCACTTTGGTGTAGCAGCATAATGTAGTTTAAACTATTGTGATAAACTTACTAACAATGTAATATAGTTTTCACTTTAGTAAATTGTGAGATATCATATACCCTATTTGTAGAAAACCTGATACAGTATTTGGTGATTTTACATTGGTAGTTACTGTATTCATTGATTATTTTACCACAACAACTATGGTATTACCACAACAGATTATTAAAATACTGGACAGGATCATGTGTTATTTTTTGCTTCAAATGGCCCAGATACAAAATATCAAATATGTTTAATTTAAACTTGTTTAAGAGTGTAGATGTGAATAAATGAAACTACGGGCTTGTTCTTTTTAAGTAACTAGACCATAATAAAACACTTATAGAGTGGACTTAAAAGGAAAAATTACGTACAAGCTACTGTATAAAAAATACAAGCATCAAACTAAACAATATTTTATGAACTCCCAAGCCTTCTTTTCAATCTTTCAGGATGCTAAAACAATGCTAAAAGATTTGGAGACTACACCGATTGAACTGACAATGGATGATAGGGTAATGTATATCTTTTATACATTACATTATTGCATGCAGTATTTATAAATTAGCATTCAATAGCCTATATTTATATTTCAGTATTTCAGCCTCTAGAATATAAATGTTGGCTCTGTAGTTCAGATTTGTACTAGTATGATGTATAGTAACTTATATACTTATTATTAGTCAGAAATAAAGTGTCATTAAACAATACATATTGCTTCTTTTCCATATATAGAAACTATTTACAACAAAACTTTTTATTTACAGTATTCTCAAATTAGCCAGCAAGATAACCTTACCTTATACATATATGAAAAAGAAGTAATATGCATTGTTTAATGACACTTTATTTCAGACTAATATTAATTAAATATGTAATTATACATCATACTGGTTATAATACTGGTACAAATCTAAACTACCAAGCCAACATATATTTTCTAGAAGCTGAAATGCTGAAATATACAGCTGAATTATTTGCCCCCCTTTTGAATTTTTTTTTCTTTTTTTAAATATTTTCTAAATGATGTTTAACAGAGCAAGGAAATTTTCATGGTATGTCTGATAATCTATTTTTTCTGGAGAAAATCTTATTTGTTTCATTTTGGCTAGAATTAATTTTTAAAAGCCTTTAAATGTCACTTTAAGCTGTATAGAAGTGTCTTGAAAAAGATCTAGTAAAATATTATTTACTGTCATCATGGCAAAGATAAAATAAATCAGTTATTAAAACTATTATGTTTATTTAAATATTGTGTTGAGAAAAATCTTAAAATCTTCGTTAAACAGAAATTGGGGAAAAAATTAAACGGGGGCTAATATTTTTGACTTCAACTGTACATTGGTATAATGATATGCAATATCCACAGCATTACTGTACTGTACTGTAGCAAAAGCCTTCCAGGCTTTAATACATGAACATGATCAACAAAACTATATTGAAAACTAGTAGGCAAGGGACAGTATGTTTATATCTCACAACAACATCTCTGAGAACTGGCAACAAATCTTCTTTCTTCAGTTTATTTAATTCATATATTCCCTTGGTATATCAATCACAATTATTTTCTTCCTAAACAATTAGGTCAGTTACCTTCAAGCCATTTATAAAAACCTGAAAGCATCTACTCCAAATGACAACCAGCTGAGTGAAATTGTCAACTGTACTGCGGCCATGCTTTTATACTCACAAGAGTGTGAGCCTGACAACATGGAAGAGGTAATTTATAGACCAAGTGATAGACAAATAAATTATTTTCATTGTTTATTGATTGTATTGTATATTGGTTCCACTCATCAAACAGTTTGAGCAGCTTATTACTCTTGCCGGCAAAATTTATGCAATGGCTGTTGTCGGTAATGGAAACATTGTCAAGGACCTTCCAACAGGAACCATTTATGTCAGCAGGTCAGTATTAGTTGAATGATTCCTGGCATCTCGCATCATATGCCAAGGTTTTCATCTGTTGTACAACTTTTTTTTTTTTTACATAGACAAAATTCAAGCACTCTGGGTAGAAAGAATATTGGCTCCACAGATGGAGGATATTGCCAACTTCCATCTTTTTCTGCAATGAAAAGTCAACTGCCTTCTGGCAATGTCAATGTCCAGGTTTGCTAGTATAGATTTAAACTTAATAAAACTATTACTTTTTACTTGCAGTATGATTCTGATATTATTGTGTTGTAATTAAATCATAATACAACTTGCTCTGTTTTGAAAATAATCTTATTATCTCCACCTTCAGTTGGCAATCCAGGCATTTTCTGAAAACGCACCTCTATATAAATTTCTGGAGAGCGCCAAATACGTCCCAGGAGCTACATTTTATTGCAGTTTTTGTTTTCACAAATCTACCAAAGGCTGCTGTGTACACTTTTTGAGATCTTAAATTTCTCTTGCGAGTGCCGTTCACACCTGCTGTCCTTGCATAAAATCACCTCTGTCGACTGACTGTTTGACTGACAGATCGACTGACCCACCCTCCTCCTTTCCTAAACCCAACCAATAGTGTTTTCAAAAGCACTGATTGACCATATGTAGCTGTGGCTGCATAATTCACGATTTCCAGAAACGCATATAGGTCTACCTTTTCAGAATGAGCCTATGTTGTCAATGGTCTGTCAATTAGAGTCTCATTTCTATAATTGTTATCAGCATCATTATTTTGAATATGCTAAAAATGCTATTATTACAGCTCTTTCAGTTTAAAGTGAATCCATTGGAAATGAAGTCTGACGAAAACATCACTGGAACAGTTTGCAGCTTTTCTTTGCAGAGTAGCAACTCTTCAGTCAAATTCAAAGATCTTCCAGAAAACATTGAGGTAAAAACCAACAACTTAACTCATTTTATTACATGCATGTTAGAAAACTACATTGATCTTGCATCATCTGTTTGAAGATTGCTAACACTGAACACTGCAGCATTTGCAGTTTTTGACTTGCTCAATGAACATTGTAGGGCGTTTTAATTCGTATAGTCCTAAAGCTATATTTAGTGTGAAGTACATAAAAAAAAATAAACACAAATTAATGAAATAATCAATACACTGTAAATACACTGTCAATACCCCCAAAAAAAATTAATAAATAATTAATTGTGTTGATTTAACTTGTTTTAAATAAGTTTGAACAAAAGTAGCAAAAGTACTTGAGTGTACACAGAGAATTGAACTAGATGTTACAAAGAGTTACTGATGCTTCTGTGCAGATATATTTACCTCAACCTGAAGCAGCTCAGCCTGAAGTTGTGGACGTAACCTGGAAAAATGGGTTTGCGGTCACCTCGACTTTCAACATCACAGATGCAAATGTGACTGTCGTTGTAACAGCAGTCCCGAATCGAAACATAAGCCTCAGTTTTACATTGCACCCACCCAATGGGACAAACATCAGCTCTTGGAATCAAAGCACTACTGTGACCTATAAAGGTAACTTTGAAAAATAAATTCAGTGGTTTACTTAAATGGGTTGTGTATAGGACTGTTATGAAACCTTTATAATCATGACATGCCATGAATATCAAGGACATTTTATACATGCATATAATTGCTGTTATTAAGTGCCATTTACTTAGTTATGACGTTTTATATGCAAATGTGACATTGCTTGTGATGTTTCTGTTATGACAGCTTGACATAACCAAATGCATCATAACCTGTCTCTGTTGTAACAAATTGGCATTAGTAGACAATATAACTTGTCATAAATCTGTCATAAACATGATTGTCACAATGCCATTATAATTGTGTCGTGATTTTTATTGAAGCATCATTAGTACTTACTTGACCTCAACCACAGTGGAACAAATTGAATTTGTCATTAAAATCTTATTAAAGGTAATTAAACATTAATGCTGTCGTTATGAAATTATTTAAAATAGTTTTTAATGGCAAATTCATTGTACTACTGAATAAAGCAGTCATTAAAATGCTCATAACACAATTGTAATGACTTCATGATGATCATGTTTATTACAGATTTATGACATGTTATGTTTTTTTTGATAACGTCAAGTTGTCACAACAAAGACATTATGCACTTGGTAATGTCAAGTTGTCTTTACAGAGATATCTCAAACAATGTCACCTTTGTGTTTAAAATGACATAAATGAGCGAATGACACTTTGTCAAGGAAATTTTTCATAAACACCTTCTTTATATTCATGCCATCATGTTATGATTGCAAAGGTGTTACAACAGTTTTATGAAGAAAAGTGTTACCAATTCAGTTACTAAAATTAATAATATATCATTGCTATTCATTATTATTACCATGATGTCTTTGCATTATTTGCGCAATAGATGGTTATCGCTGGCTGATCAACCCTGATATGAGAAAGGAATTGGATGGGACCTGGAAGGTGTCAGTGTTACCAACTTCTTACACCTCAAGTGATGTGCTCACCTTCAAAATGTCTGTTTTTGTAACCAAGTGCCTGTTTTGGGACACAGATAATGGACAGTGGAGTAGAGAGGGCTGCATGGTGAGACTCCATAATGCCTGCTCATTAATATACATTCTGTGTGGAGTTTTTACATAATGTTTATGATATCATGTCTGTCTAAAGGTTGGTCCCAATACAATGCCGAACTTAACGCACTGTTTGTGCAACCACACAACGTTCTTTGGGAGCTCCTTCTTTGTGATGCCCAACCAGGTGGATCTGTCAAAGACCGCAGCTTTGTTTGCCACAGTAAATGAGAACTACATAGTGGTGGTTGTGCTCAGCTGCTTTTTTGCGCTCTACCTGATCCTTGTAATGTGGGCCTGGTATGCAGACCGCAAAGCTCTCCGAACGGTCAGTGCACTCATATTTATTTGCCTATTTAACACACATGTGGTTTGTTGATGAGACATGTGCCATGACTAGGGCCAGACAGAATCTACAGACATTTTTTTTGTGCAAAATCTGCAGATATATGTGGAATGACTTTGGGGGTATCATAACTAAAAACCTAATATATGAAATAAAAGTAATAGCTATTTAGTTTTTATTTAATGTTTACAATGAAAATCCACTTAGATTACTTATTTGGTGAACAAAGCAATCTCTCATATAATATATATGTAATATATACTAAAAGACAGAAAATTTTACTTTACTAACTGTATTGTAAATAAATCATATGAAAATTATTCAAATGATTTATTCTCTTATTAGTCAATAATATTACTGAAATTAATTTAAAAAACTGAATAAAAAAAAACTTACATACATTTACACAAGTCCATAAATAGACTCAATGATGGGCTAAAAATCTGCACTTAGATTCCGTGTGGGCCTAGCCATGACCAACCCAAGTGGATTATAGCGCAGATGAAAACAAATCCCATTAACCAACATTGAAGAATGATTAGAAAGGTTAGATTTGAAAGTAAAAAGCTAACAAGTAATACGTCACGTTTTCTATTTAAAACAGTAATTCAAATGCATTTCCAAGTAAAATATAATCGACCTTGCTAGGAGAGATGTTTTAGTCATTGCAACACAGCCTTCCACTTTAATTCAGTATATTATAATTCTGTTATGGTCGTCCTTGAAGGCTGAGATAATAATATTTAAAAATCTGCAATCTGAAAGTTAAAACAAGTTTAAATATTGAGAAAATTACTTTTAAAGTTGCCTAAGTGAAGTGCTTAGCAATGCACATTACTAATCAAAAATAAGTTTTGATATCTTCACAGCTGGAAATTTACACAATACATTTATGGTACATTAAATTTACTTTAATGTAATGAGTTTTGACATAAAAGTAAAACCAATCGTTTTAACCAATACAATGTATTTTTGGCTACATGTACCCGTGCAACTTAAGAGGATCTCATATATGTTGTTTTAGCTTATGCATGAGACTTTTCATTCCTTCTCTGTCATTAGATTATATTTTTATCAAAATACTTAGACTTCTGAATATTATATGTAAATAATGAAGTCTGCACCGCGCCCAAGTTTTTTATTTTTTATTTTGGTGTGTTAATCTTGATAATAATATCATCTAGATTGTCATGACTTGCACTCGTTAAATAATTACTTATATAGCGTTATTTTACATTCTTGGGAGATTAAAAAAAAAACACAGGCATTGTGCTAAAACATCTGTTTTTTGTATCTCCCAAGAATGTAAATTAAAGTTATATAAGTAATTATTTAGGGGCAAAGCAGTGGTGCAGTAAGTACTGCTATCGCCTCACAGCAAGAAGGTCGCTGGTTTGAGCCTCGGTTCAGTTGGCGTTTCTATGTGGAGTTTGCATGTTCTCCCCGCGTTCGCGTGGTGCTCCAGTTTCCCCCACAGTCCAAAGACATGCGGTACTGATGAATTGTGTAGGCTAAATTGTCCGTAGTGTATGAGTGTGTGTGTGAATGTGTGTGTGGATGTTTCCCAGAGATAGGTTGCGGCTGGAAGGGCATCCGCTGCAGAAAAACTTGCCGGATAAGTTGGCGGTTCATTCCGCTGTGGTGACCCCGCATTAATAAAGTGACTAAGCCGACTAGAAAATGAATGAATGAATGAATGAAGTAATTATTTATCGAGTCTGAATCATGAATGATATTACACGTAAATAACGTATACACTCTTGAAAATAATTTTTACTAAAAAAGGGTGATTTCGCAGCCATAAAAATAAGTGTTTGGTTCCCCAAAGAACATTTTGTTGAACAGTTCTTAACAAATTCTGTTGTTAACAGTTCTTAACCTAATCTGTTTTTCAGGGTTTCCATGCTTGTACTTAAATTTAAGACATATGACTTCAAGGCCTGGAAAGTACTTAAAAACAAACATAGGTCCTTGAAAGTGCTTGAATTTAAAGTTTATGGTTATTTGATATGTCATTTCAACAATTGTACTGTGCTGCTTTCAAAAACTAAACAGAAAAAACTAAGAAATTCCTAATTTAAAAATCTAATAATTATATAAGAACTATGACAAACAATATTTTATTTTATCAATATTTCAGAAACCACAATTGAATATTATTCATGCGTTTTTCTTCGGCTTAGTCTCTATTTCAGCCATTGCCACAGGGAAATGAACTACCAAATTTTTTGGCCTACGTTTACAGAGCGGATGCCCTTCCAACTGCAATCCAGTATTGAGAAACACCCATATACACTGATTCACACACACACACTCATACACTACGGACAATTTAGCTTACCCAATTCACCTATAGCACATGTCTTTGGACTGTGGCAGAAAATAGAGCACCCGGGAAAAACCCATGCGAACACAGGGAAAACATTGAAACTCCACTGACCCATTCGGGACTCAAATCAGTGATCTTCTTGTTGTAAGGTGACAGTGCTACCCACTGAGCCACTGTGCGGCCCCACATTTGAATATGACCAGTATTGAACTCAACAAATTATATTGAAGTTTTTTTTAACTTGTCTGTTTAAAACGGTCTACATATTTAAAAATGACACACTTAAAACATTATTACTGACATTTAATGGAATGTTTAAAGTTTAAGTGAAATGTTAAGTACAATAAGTATTTTAATGGTCTTATATATGCTGGGGGTGTGAATTACAAAGACGTTTGATTTAACATTTTTGGGGATTTACAAAGTCCTTGAATTCAGTGTCCATGAAAGAGTGGATGGTGAAAGTTCATCCTGAAATCATCAAAGCAAATAAAGAACTTTTATGAATAAAAGTGCAGTAATCAAGCTGAGCGACCACACAGCAAAATGTCCAAACATTTTGTACATACTTTATTTTTATTTTTCTATTAAAAATGTCTGATGTGACATATTTTCAGAGCCATCGAAACCCTATGATTCAATATGTCCTGTCATTGATACTCCAGGATTCTATTTCAATGTTCTACACAGTAAAAATGTATTAGTTCCACACAATCCCTTCTTGTTGTCCCAACACAAATCAATTAGGTTAATTTGTCACATTGGAATTGTATAGTTTTATCTACGTTTAAAATGAGTTTGAGATATTAAGCTTCAAAGTTTTGGCATTCCATATAGCAAACAAAATGTGAAAAACAGTTCTCTTTTATACATTTAACATGACAGAGACCCTAAATGTATTCTTACTGTGAATTGTCAAAGTTTTCTTCAATTTGCAAAATGCAGATAGAAGCTTCTGGTTCTAAAACGCCATTTCCCGCTTGGAATTCTATCTGGCAGATCAGTAATTGAAGCATTAAATAAAAAGTAAAATTGCTGTTGTAACAATATGTCGTTTGAGAAAGTTAGATTTTTGCTTTCTATATCATTTATTTTATGTTTTAGGATGAATATTCTTTCTTGTGCAAATTAAACATACAAGGCTGTGCTAAATATTTTTTCCAGTGCATATGTTATTTTTATATAATTAATATGGCCATATTTATTGAATTATATACCTCATTAAATAAATTAGGTATTGCATTTAAAATGCTAATGGCTCAGAGAAAGAACTTTACAGAGTCAAGCTAAAGTTTGACTTTGTAGATAAAACCTTTTTCGTTTTTTAAATAAAAAGTCTCAAAATGTAAACAACTTATAAAACAACATCACATAAGTTGTCATTTAATAAAAATATATACAGTAACAATATATAAGAACTCAATTTTGACAAAAATGTCAGATAGAACCTCATAATTCTAAGGTGATGAATTGTTTTTACAAGTTTAAGTGGATTCAACATATACCAATTAATTAAACATCAAGAACTGTGAAGTTGCTTGAACAAGCAGTAATAATTTTTTTTTTTTTTTTTTTTTTTTGGAGTGTAATAATGTGAATAAATGTCTGTGTCCACAGCGTAAAATGACTCTGTTGGAGGACAATCACCCATGTGCCCAGTACAACTATCTTGTAAATGTACAGACAGGCCACAGAAGAAAAGCTGGCACCACTGCCAAGGTGAACCACAAACATTTTTATATTGCTGAAATGGCCAATTATTTTCTTCCTGTTCACAAGGAATACATTTTGTGAAGAGTGATTAAAATTACATAAAGTCAGACAAAGTTTGTCTTTTATTGCTTTAATTCTCCAGAGAATGATCAGTTTACACACAGACAGCCTCTGTGAACAAAAGCATCTCAAGCATGGGCTCACATGAGTTTTTAAAGATAAATTTCTCTACAGCTTCTGAACTCTCAACAACCAGTAGATTACACATGGCTGTAATAGTCCAATGATTATAATGCATTTGTTCTTTACTTTAGCAAAACATTAATTAATTTATAATATCAATATATAATTGGTAATCATCAAAATATGATCATCAATATTAACATTTTCCATCACATTACTTCAAACTTAATTTAATAAGTCAATCAGGTTACAACAAAAATAAGCTACAAAGTTTAGCATAATAGTATTAGTCGATTTATCAATTATGAATTTGAATGATTTAAGTTGAGATGACTTGAAAAGTTTATTTGATTCAACTAAAAGATTAAATTCAGGAAGCTTGTTTTTTCTTTTGTACACTAGTCTGTTTCTAATCTGTAAGTTTTGAAAGCGTGTTATTAAAATCTCATCTTTTTCAGATAAAGGTGATGCTCCAGTTTGCTGAAGGGCAGAGTGACTCTTATAGTTTGTCGGACTCAGAGAAGCCTGTGTTTGAGAGGGGAGGAGTGGATGTGTTTCTGCTCAGTATGCCTTTTTCACTCGGTGAACTCCAGAGCATCGACATATCGCATGACAACTCAGGTGGAAGCCCTGATTGGTAGGTGTTTGTGTGTCTTGCCTTTTGCATGTGTTTTCTTATTTTTGCATAGAGAGGCAGAAGCAGAGTACACTTCAGGTGAGTGTTCTGTGTTGCTTACTGTTCCTCTTGTATTTCACTGGATCTACAAAGGGTGTCATGGTGGCTCAGTGGTTAGCACTGTCGCCTCACAGCAAGAAGGTCAGAAGCGGGGTCCTAGCGGGGTCAATTGGCCTCTCTGTAAGGTGGGTTTTTTTCCGTGTGCTCTGGTTTTCCCTACTATCCAAAGACATGTGCTATAGATGAATTGGATAAAATAAATTGGCCGTAGTGTGTGTGTGTGTGTGTGTGTGTGTGTGTGTGTGTGTGTGTGTGTGTGTGTGTGTGTGTGTGTGTGTGTGTGTGTGTGTGTGTGTGTGTGTGTGTGTTTGTGTGAATCAGTGTATATGGGTTTTTCCCACTACTGGGAAAACCTACCTACTTCGCGGCTCGAAGGGCATCTGCTGCATAAAACATATCTCAGAATAGTTGGTGGTTCATTTAGCTGTGGTGTCCCCTGGTAAACAAGGGTCTAAACCAAAGGAAAATGAATGAATGAATGGATCTACTAAAATATGTATAGTTAAATTATTATAGATAAATGATAAATTTAAATAAACAAAACCCTACACTTTATTTTGGTGCCCCTACAACAATCTATTGACTACCCACCAAGCATTGCTATGTTTATTACACAACTAATAGATGTCTAATACAGGTCATCTTACTGTACACAAAGACCATCCCTAACAGTCAGCTAATACTCTATTAATAATAATACTATTAATGAGGGTTATGTTGTGTTCACACTACACACACAGAAATATGTTACAAAATACAAATATAATGTATCAAATATGGAAAAATATTATAAATACATTTAAATGACACTTTTTATTCAACATTTGGGTTTTGTTTATATTTATTTCAACATCAAGATTAAAACAACAATTTTTTAAAATTGTTTAGTAGCTCAGTTCTCAGGGTTTTCTGTTTGGTTTTGTTTTTTATCAAAAAATAAAAGTATACATTTAGATCTGGCTGCCTTAGCCTTCACTGTGATTTTTAAACTGAGCCTAAAGAATCGAACAAATGAGGTATGTGTTGTGAAAAAGCTTACTAAACATTTAAAACATTGCTAAATATTGTTTAATTTTTTTTACGAATTGAGAACTCTAGAAAAGTCTACAAAGTAAGCGGCTATTTTCGATTTTTTTACAACATAGAATGGAAAAGTGAATGTCATGTAAATAAATTAATTTACATGAATTTTACATGAAATGTTGGGGAAAGGCACCTTTCACAATGCCAGCGTCATATCTAGTGACCTTTAGTAATGTTTGCTTCTTGAATTGTGGACAAAAATATTTTAAACCTGAAATACTTTGGCCATGTAAAGTCAGTGTTGTTTTCATGTTTTCATAATTCAGGGATTCCCAATCATTTCAGTTAACCAAAACCTTTTAAATTGAAAATGCATGAAAAGGTTTTTTTTTGTACAATAATTAAACAACAAAAATAGGCGACGCAGTGGCACAGTAGATTGTGCTGTTGCCTCACACCAAGAAGGTCGCTGGGTCGCTGGTTCGAACCTCGGCTCGGCTCGGCTCAGTTGGCATTTCTGTGTGAAGTTTGCGTCCTGCGTCCTGCGTTCGCATAGGTTTCCTCCGGGTGCTCCAGTTTCTCCCACACTCCAAAGACATGCTGTACAGGTGAATTAGGTAGGCTAAATTGTCCGTAGTGTATGAGTGTGTGTATGAATGAGTGTGTGGATGTTTTCCAGAGATGGGTTGCGGCTAAAAGGGCATCCACTGCATAAAAACGTGCTGGATAAGTTGGCGGTTCATTCCGCTGTGGTGACCCCAGGTTAATAAAGGGACCAAGTCGACAAGAAAATGAATGCTTAAATTAATAAACAACATAATTGGATTCTTATAGTTCAGTGATTTTGTTTAAAGGCCACAATTTAATTTTTTTATTATTATTATTTTTTACATTATTATTATAAATCATTAGGATGATTTAAGTGATTATTTAATTATATTGTTTATAATTTAGCCCAATTGGGAAACAATTTGGGAAATAATGTAAAACAAAAGAAAAAATTGGCTGGGCCAGTTGTCATTTCTTTGTGGAGTTTGCATGTTCTCCCTGTGTTGTTGTGGGTTTTCTTTGGGTGCTCCAGTTTCCCAAACAGTCCAAACTCAAAGACATGCACTATAGGTGAAATGAATAAACTAAATTGGCTGTAGTGCATGAGTGTGTGTAAATGTGAGAATGTATGGGTGTTTCCCAGTATTAGATTGTGGCTGGAAGGGCATCTGCTGCATAAAATATAAGCTGGAATAGCTGTCAGTTTATTCCGCTCTGGCGATCACTAATGAATAAAGGGACTAAGCTGAAGGAAAATGAATCAATGAATGAATGAATATAAATATGGCAGATTGATTGGTATGTTTTAAAAACCTTTTGTAACCTAGATTACATTTCTAACTACAAATTTCATCATGTAATCTGTTATGGACTACAACTAAGTAATCCATCGAGCAGTCAAACACAAGATGCATAACAAGGGCATTCCTAGAAAAATCCAGGGAAGTGTGATCAGGACTGAACATCCCTGATTTATTGAGTGATTAAAGATTAATATATCTACAAATCTATATGTCTCACACCACAAATTGTTGCATCAGGTACTTGGACAAAGTGATGATCCAGGACTTACAGACGCAGGACGTCTCACACTTTCTGTGCTCCACCTGGCTGAGAGGTGAAACGTGCAAGAGGACATTCAACTCGGCTAAGAAGAATGAAATCGCAAGCTTTGGGTAAATAATTCTACTTACATTCTCATTGAAACCACTTTTATTGCACTATGGTGTTATCTATCAAAATGGTGTTTGAGAATACAAGAGACAGTAAAATAAAACAAACACCACCGCATACTAACAAAACTCCTGCTGCTTCTACATGGAAAGCCCACAGGTGTTTCTAATCAAGGTTTACTTGAGGAAAAACCCCCATTTGTTAGGTGCCAGCTCAGGTATGCAACAAATGAAGAGAACAAAACCAAACTGAATGGAAACATGCAAAAAAAAATGTATTTAATGGTTACAAAAATGAAAAAAATAAAGTGCAAAGGGGTACCAATGTAATCCATATGAAAATTAAATGTCTATAAAATGTAAGTTCAAAACAACAACAGCTTATAATAATAAATTTCAAAATGAACAAAAATAATATAAGCAGTGGGTAGGCAAAAGGAAGTCGATTGGAAACGATCCTCCAAAGCTCTCAAATGCATCTTCTCAGCTCCTTAAACAAGCCATCAGATTAGCCGCACCAGCTCATACTGATCACCTATTAGGAAAAAGAAAGCAGAAGCCAGGAAACAGAACGAACCAATCCCAAACCCGAACACCAAGCTTGAATCAACACAGATTTAAGCAATTACTCAACAACAACTTACTTAGAACCTAAAGTTTTGCCTTTGAATATTGGTATAGACCAATTTGAGGGATGTAAACGAATACAATGATCCCAGCATATTTCCTGTTTTAATTTCTGTAGCTTCCGAGATTCAAAAAGAGTTTCATATTGATAATTAATGTTATGATAGCGGTTTTAACATTAAGTTATGATTGAATTGTCTCAATACAGTTATGAATAGTTTGATAACAAGCAGGAAATGTTCATGGGCCAATGACAATGACTGAATATATATATATATATATATATATATATATATATATATATATATATATATATATATTTATACAAGTATAACAACATCACTGAATTGATGAAAAAAATAGAATAACAGGAAAAAAATAAGAAAACAAAACAACAAAAACTTTACAAAGCCTCAATCATTAGGAAAAAAGATTATCTTAAGCTTTAAGAAACCTATTATTCTTCTTATTATTAATAAGCTAAAGAGATTCAATATTATCAATTACTGTACTCAATTTGTAAGGACTCATCCCTATGCCCTAATCCCTTCGAAATGTTTACCTTCTGGCATAACAGCTTTAACAAGTGATTAGGGCATAGGAGCCCTTCCAAATTAAATGCAGTGTGCAACACCTTGCACAAAGGATCCTTTTTGAGCACTACGATATGGAAACCATGATTGTTGCTTTTCGGAAAGAGATATATCCATTTGGAAAGGGTTTCTTTGGTCGTCAAGTAAAGAAACAATCAAAATGCTTTTAAAAGTTTAAAACTTTTAGTTTTTACCTATGTTATGTAAACACCAAACAAACCCATTTTTGAAAAAGTAAATAGTAAAAATTTGGTATTATAGCTTACATAATGTGGATACTAGGCATAGACAGTGGCTAATTAATGGATTCTGTTCCACAAAGAATGTAATTAATTGTCATTTTGGCACTAGCCATTCATTTTAAACCTAATTTTAAATAAATAAAAAAGATGTTCAGACTTCATCCAATATTCTTGCGACTTCATCTTATGTGTGATTTATCTGGTTTCTTGGAAAAACAGAAGCATGTTTAATAGACTTCAGAGCTTTTATCAATAATAAATAATGTGATGGACAGCTAAAGTTACCTGTATTCATTATATGCAGAACACGTGAGTTGTTTGTATTCTCCGTATTTATCCTTTTATATAGCTTATGTGAAGATTTAAAGTCGTTTCATTTGTAAATACTGGTTGAAACTAGTTGGCGAAATAAACAAATTAGCCATAATTTAGTTTTAAACAATGTACCGTACAAGAACTTTTTTTTTTTAAAGAAATGTTCAATGAATAGGAACAGCCACATTTTGGAATATTAACGTATATTTTCACAAAAATAAATATGCATTTACAGTTTATTCAATTCATCTTTATTTGTATAGCGCTTTTACAATGTAGATTGTGTCAAAGCAGCTTAACATAGAAGATCATAGTGAACTTAAAACAGTGTAGTGCAGTTTTCAGAGTTTAAGTTCAGTTCAGTTTAGATTAATTCAGTTCAATGTGTAATATTCACTGCTGAGAGTCCAAACACGGAAGAGTAATCCATCGATGCGCAGCTTTACAAGACCCAAACTATGAAAGCCAGTGGTTTAAAAAAACACATCAGAAGAAACCTGGCCTAGTTAGCACAACCATTTCTCATATGGCAAAATGTCTGGCACTGGCTAAAGTCCAGGCACTGGAGGCTGGAGAACACAGGAAGAAATAAAAATGGCACCCTCTTCCTACAGCTTCCTTTTGTAACTCAAAAGTATTAGTCAAACATAGAAACAGACAATACGTTTTTAAATACTCTACCATACAAAAAAAACACACTGCCTGCAAGTTCAACAAGGCAAGGCAAACAACAAGGTTCTTCAAAAACAGAAGTTAAATTTTACCCAATAGCTCAATAAACGTCTCACATCATACAACAGGTCAATAATCACACACACACACAAAAAAATACAATTTTGCAACAAACACAAGTCTAGAGCAGTTGAAAAGTGAACCTCACTTTGGGTTGAGGCACACTCCTCTTTTGTAGCAGTGTGTCACGGCAGCACACTCACAATGATGAGCACCACCTGGGCCTAATCAGCTCTACCTAGCAAGCAGGCAGAGAGAGACATAAACGTGGAGAAGAAACACACACGCACATAGTGGATTTTTCTGTTGAAAGAAAAAAAAAATATTGCTTATAGAGGCTAATAATGTTGACCTTAAAATGGCTTTGAAAAAAAAAATTGAACTGCTTTTATTCTATTCGAAATAAAATAAGACTTTCACCAGGAAAAAAAAAATATTATAGGTCAGGAAATGTTGTGAAAAAATGTCTTGCTCTGTTAAACATCATTTAGGATATTTTGAAAAAGAAAATAAAAATTTACAGGAGGACTAAAAATGTTGACTTCTACTTTATATTTTCCCCACCAACCCCATCCCAGCAACATCTTTCAGACACGTACGTCTTCAGGTTTCCGGGACGAGCACATCTGGGTGTCGATCGTGGACCCGCCGCGGCGCAGTCCTTTCACGCGGGTACAGAGAGTGTCCTGCTGCATGTCTCTGCTGCTCTGCACGATGGCCATCAACATCATGTTCTGGAACCTTCCCACTGATGCCGAGTCTCCTGTCATACTAAAGATAGGTCCGAAAAAAAGCTTGCCCTAATGCAAATTATATAATGCTCAAATGTGACGTCTCACTCTCAACAGCCTTTACGCAATGTCTGAGAGCTGTGAGGGAGAAAAAATTGTGTAGCTTCTTACACAGAAAACTTAGCATATTAGCCTATGACGTTTTAACACTTTATCAGTAAAGATATCAGAATATATTGTTACACTTTCATGTAAGTTTTTTATATACACTTTTAAAAGAATCTGTTAATTAAGAGTGTCCGTATTTTGTGATTTACAAGTGTTTACCATTTATTTACAGTTGTGAATTGCCTTCCCTGCTGAAAAAAACAGCGTATGCTGGTAAGGTATGTTTTGATGCTGGTATGCTGGTCTTGCTTGTTTCAATGCTGCTTTTGCTGGTCTCAATGCTGGTCCTGCTGGTCTCAATGCTGGTTTTGCTGGTCTCAATGTTGGTCTTTCTGGTCTCAACGCTGGTCAGGAGCAGCACTGAGACCAGAAAAACCAGCATTGAGACCAGCGCTGAAACCAGCAAGACCAGCATTGAGACCAGCAAGACCAGCATACCAGCATCAAAACATACCTTACCATGCTGTTTTTTCAGCAGGGTTATAGGATGTTGATCTTGGCTCTGTCGACTTTTGATATTGAAAATTCATCTGTACAGTTTAACAAAGTGACTTATATTAACATTTTAGTAGTCTGAAATAATAGGTATACTAGAACTAATAAATATAATATTGATATAGTAATATGTAGATGTTATTATATAATAATGTTTAAGAAATAGTATATAGAGAATTAGGTCTGTAAAAAGCAGAAAATTATCTAGCAGTTTATAAAAAGGTTTTTGTACCACCAATCCAGACAACATATTAATTTAAACTATTCAAATTTTTAATAAGGGTCACTTTTTTTTAACTTTTCAAATTTAAAAGTTGTTGGGAGAAAGATCAGGGGCCCAAAATGTTATTCAAAAGCATAAATAAACAAGTGGGGAAAAAAACATGAATTGCAAAATACGAGAATCTGCTAATTTATGTATATTTTTACAGTGAAGGATCGTTCCCGTTCAGTGCAAGAACTGGCTGCTATTAAATATTTTTTAGATATTGGTACCTTTTTTAAATGCACTTATTAATTAAATAATTAGATACAGTTCTTATATTTAGATAATGGTATTTCTTAATTATTAATAAAAAATATTAATAATAATAATAATAACAACAATAATAATTCCTTACATTTATATAGCACTGTTCTGAACATTCAAAGTAATTTACGCATATTTGAGGGAATCTCCTCATCCACCACCAGTGTGCAGCATACACCTGGATGATGCGACGGCAGCCATATTGCGCCAGACCGCACACCACACACCAGCTGATTGGTGGAAAGGAGACAGAGTGATGAAGCCAATTAATACATGGGGAAAGTTAGGAGGCCATGATGGACAGAGGCCAGTGGGCAAATATTAGATTAGATTATAGATATAATTAACAAAAAGTGCAGTAATTAATTTACTGGTAAATATTTCTAAATTAACAAAAACAACTATTCTGTTGTTACTGGTTTTATAAGTAATTATTCATACTGTAAATTTTTATACTGGTGCCTTTTATTTATTTATTTTATACCACAGCTTAAACATTAAATAAGTGTAATTAATTAAAAGGTAAATATTTTAAACAGCTTTTTATACAGTTTAAGTCAGAATTATTAGCCCTACTGAATTATTAGCTCCCCTGTATATTTTCCCCCTAATTTCTGCTTAAGGGAGAGAAGTTTTTCAGACACATTTTTTTAACATCATATTTGTAATAACTCATTATTAATATCTTATTTATTTTATCTTTGCTATGATGACAGTACATAATATTTTATTAGATATTTTTCAAGATACTAGTAGTCAGCTTAAAGTGTGATCTTAAACTCTGAAAACTTGACTGACAGAGTTTCAATTTACTAGAACTTTTATGTTAAGCTGCTTTGACACCATAAGCTGTAAAAGCGGCATAGAAATAAACATGAATTGAATTGAATTAAAGTGACATTTAAAGGCTACACTAGATTAGTTAATTAAGCAAATCATTATATAAATATTTTAAACTGCTTTTATTCTAGTCTAAAATAAAACAAATTTCCAGAAGGAAAAATTATTACAGGTGAAATATTACAGTGAAAAGGTCCCTGCTCTGATAAACATCATCTGGCAAATGTTTTTTTTTTTATAATAAAAGAAATCAAAATTCACAGAACGGCTAATAATTTAGACTTCAACTGTATATTTTATTAAATGGTGTATACAAAAATAAATAACAATGCCCTTTCCTGACCAAAACATGCTGTATTTCACAGGTTCGTTTCAGCTGACGTGGCAGCAGTTCATGGTAGCTGTAGAAAGTGGTCTCTTCATGTTCCCCATCAACATCCTCATCATTACAATCTTCAGACACATCAAACCACGCATCCTCCTGAACAAAGGCAAGACAGACTCTTCCAAGAAAACAACACCAGCTGCCAGTGTCTCCATGAACACCATCATACAGGTTCTTCTAACAGCAGTTCTTCAGCATTATAATTGCTCTCTCTAATATAATTGATCTCTCTCTCTCTCTCTCTCTCTCTCTCTCTTTCTCTCTCTCTCTCTCTCTCTCTCTCTCTCAAATAGTACTTTTCAGTGAACAGAATGTTGTGTTACTCAAAGTGAATGTTCTGTTCCTTTTTCCTCAGGAAACTGTAGGATTGTTGAATTATCTCAGCAAAAGCCCAAAAAACAATCTGCCTGCCAAAGAAATCCAGCCTGAGACAAGTGGCGACCTTTTCTGGGCCCTAGACAAAGTCAACCACGTTCTTGAGATCATGCAAGGTTCCATCATCAATACTACATGCATTTCCATTTCATTAATTGTTCTTGAAGTTTTAGCTTCATGTAAATATGATTTACTCTAGATGTCATTTAAATCAAAGCTGTTTTAACATCAATGAAACTATTAGTAACATTTTTAGATTTCATTATTTTGCATTTTTGAAAAATACTTAGTTTTTTCGCTTGTATTTTCTTATAATATTATTGTAACAATAGGGTATGACAACAGAGATGAAGTTCCAGATGCAGCTTTATTCATGGAGAATGGTTTAAGCTGGGTTCAAAACAGGAACAGAAGAGTACCATAAGGGGTAATCCACAAGAGTACTCTAATAATCGGGCAAAGTTCAAGATAGGCGGCATGCAATCATTAAACAAAAACTAGTCTGAGAATCAAAAAACATGAACCACAAGTGAACTCCTTGAACCAAAATACAATACAATATCCCACATTGAAGGTGTGTGAATGTGGAGCTTAAAGAGTGTTGCTGCATCCCAATTCACATGCATATACTACGCCCTAAAAGTATGTACTTGTTTTGTGAAGGAAAAGTATATACTTTTGAGTGTGAAACAGAAGAGTATGCAAGCTTTGGTACACACTACCTCATCGTTAACAGATCGTTGTGTTGCTTAGTTATGAGCCCTCTCAATCATCCACACATCATTCACATTTCTATCATATTTAATTTCCTACCTTATTGGAGATTCAGCAGCAGGTTAATCTGCCATTAACAAGTCTTTTCATGCAGAGAAATCTCCTCAGCTCTTTGGATAACTATGCATTCATATGTTAATGTCCAAACACGCCTTTATATAAATTCAGTATTGTTGTTGCAGATGAAATATAACACAGAAAACATGATTTAAATATTTTCCAGTGGGCTAGATATTAATGAACAGTCTACTTGACTTGGTCTACTTGGCCTCGCGAGTCCATCATGTTTGTAGTTCGTTTACACTTTTCACCCGTGATTGTTGTTCAAATTCACATCAAATTCACGTCCAACGCACAATGTATTATGGGTAATATCAGCAGTTACAGTATGGGCGGTTCTACACTTAAAATTTTGACCGGAAATAGTAAACCATCCGGGAACCTTTGACATACTCTTTTCAACATACTACGGTTTGGGACAAACTAATTATATTATCACATATTATTTAGGACGGATTGGGACGCAGCATGTGTGTAATGTGCTGCAGCTATGTCAGTGTAATTAGTGTCCAGATTGGTAAACAGTCTCAGCTGTGTGGTGTGAAGTCTGATGGGAGGTGTAGTCAGGGTGAATGGCTGTTAGAGTGTATATATTGCTGGAGTGCCCTCTAGTGAGTCTGGTGGGCAGTTCAGCTTGTACTTGTAACAGTTATACTACTTATACCAGACTTTAAATGTAAAATAAAGAATGTCATCATTTAATTACCATTATAATGTTAGCTACCATCATAATGTTAACTACAAATATCTTTATTTCATCCTAGCTAAAAGGGAATGCTATTGAAATAATGTTGTAGGACATTCTTGTAACAATAGAAAAACATTCTTAGAACAACTTTCTAGGAATTTCTTTAGAGCATTAGTTGCTAGTTCATTAGTTGGACATTAGGCACTCTATTCTAGCGGTCAAAGTCTAAAGTGCATGGCACAAAAGCGAATCCACTTTTGCTATTTTAAGGGCGGAAAACTGTGGTGTGAAAGGGTTGTGCTTAGTCTCTTAATGAGTTATGGGTGTGTTTTGAGCATAACGCCCATTAAACCAGACTCTCATCCCGCATTACCTTTAAGAGTCAGTGGAGTCGCGCCTTGTCATTTGCTATTTACATGGTGGAATTTGTAGTGGAATATCTGAGCGTTTCACTAGCGAGAAAACGCAAGTTAAACAGACCATCTGCAGCGAGGATAAAGATTGAGACTCCTCCATTCGGCCTCTTTACTTTCTCTTTACTTTTACTCTTTACTTTACTGTCTCAGATAAGGAAACAGTGTTGTACGCACTCTACTGAAGACATCAATTAGCCTACGTTTTTAATTTAGTTTGTTGAGCGCAAAGGTTTGTTTCAAAACTATTTCTAAATTCAGTTCTAAAACAATAGTAATGAAGTGTGGTCAAAGAACTGTCATAGCCAACACACATCTTGTTCTTATGCCCCATATGGTGATACATTCGTCTCCAACGTCCACATGTTGAACATTTTGCTTGAAATGTGCTAATAGTTTGTGTTTGAAGGTTTTGAATTGATTTTTCATAGGTTTATGAAAAATCTTACTGAAAATTTATACTATACCATTTCAGAGATTTAACATTGAAGGTCTGATCTGATAAACTACATGATGAGTATAGTAATATTCTGAGAAGAGAGAAGAAGAAGAAACTTAAATATGATTTCTGTATACTTGCTTTGCCAAGACATAATTAATTTTAATCTCTGGAAAAAAAAGGCATATTCTTCTGGACGCTCATGTGCATGTGTTTTGATGTATATTTTTTCCCCCGCTGTGCTCCTCATAGCAGTGTTGTGTTTCTCTTCAGCGGAGAGCATTGGTGACCCTCACTGGTTTTACTGCAGTCATTTTGTGCTTTACTCACTGAGCCACATTAATAACCTGCTGGAGCATGTGGGGGAAAAAGGCTGCTTCCTTAATGAGGAGCTTCGGCAGGCTCGCGGGATAGTCAATGCCCTGCTCAAGAAGGCTGAAATTGTGTCTCAAAAGCACACTTCCCAAAGGTCAGCACCTTCCCTACTGCAGCTACTCTTATTGTAAATGAATGAGAAATACATGAGATAAACTGGTTTGTTGCAATAATAAGCAGATGATTTTATTTATTTATTTATTTTTGTTTCAGCCAACCAGTAGTTCAAGTACAGAAGAAGAAGCAGGGCTGGTGGTTGCCCTGGTGGTTTCTGTTCATCGGCTGGTTTCTGCTTTTTGTCATGAGTGGTATTTCCACCTTCTTCACACTGCTTTATGGCTTCCAGTATGGAAGAGAATCCTCTATCCAGTGGGTGGTCACTCTTTCATTATCACTGGTCCAAAGCATCTTCATCATGCAACCTCTTAAGGTATGAACTATGAAACATGTTCTTTTTCTTAGGCTAACTTTTTAGGTTAAGGAATAAAACCAAAAAAAAAAGCAGACTAATAAGAACAAGCTACCCCTAAAATAATGAATATCCTGGAACACAAATGGAATTTGTATTATTTGTTCATGCAATAATAACATACCTTTTAGTTACTTGTTATGTCCTTGTGATAATGGACGGATGGATGGATAGATGGATAGATAGATAAATAGATAGACAGACAGACAGACAGACAGACAGGCAGGCAGGCAGGCAGATCATTTCATGTCTTTAGTTGAAATTTGGAATATTGTTCAATGCACTTATAGAAAGTTATGCTGGACTAAATGTAGTTTCTGTTGAAACTCACATAGATGTACTCAAAATAATTGCTACATATTTGCAACGATATTGTATACAATTTAGCATTTAATTTTTAATAACACATTAGAGTTAAATTAAATGTGTTTTATTAGTGTTGTTTTAATTACAAAATAAAACAATTACATTTTTAAACAATTACAGTGAAGTAAAGCTATACTCAAATTATAATTTTAAAAGTCTTTATATGTGCATTAGTAGCTTTTGTCAGTATTATTTTTAAGTACAATTGCAAAAAGTCAGAATTATGAGCAATCAGAGTGGCAAGAAATGTAACCGTAACGGCCTGAGGTCCTGTTTACACTAATATGTTGGTTTTAAAATGGTGTTTAAAATGAAAATGAACCACGTCCACACTGCCGTTTCACACAGCATTTCTGAACAGATCTGTCTACACTGCTGAAAACGCACGTAACACATGCAGTGTATGCGCGCATCTGAGCTCCAGGCAGTCAGCAGGTGCTTTGAGCATAGAAGCTCTACGTAAAAGCTGTGCACGTCGGACGATTCATCAAGAATCTACCGCTGGATCTAAACTCACTATATTTATTAAATGTGATCTTTAATTAATCTTGTCACTATCTAACAACATATTCCCTGACTTTGGTCTTTTGAATCTACTGTTCTCAGGTAATGTTGTTTGGCTGAGCGCAAAGATAAGTTAATATAAGAATTTATGTAACCACATGCACTAATTCTGCACATTTGACTGATTGCTTGCCTTTATTTTCCTATATTGTATAAACTTATTGTATGTTATACTTTTATAATGGCCCTTATTGATTATTAAAACTTTTATTCAGCAAAAGAGAGAATATGTTTTGTATTTTTTACTGAAAATGAAAGGAGGCAGTTTTGTTATAGGCTTTTGCACTGATCTGCCTGTCAATCTGCTCCATCTATCCCTCACTCGTGAACAAAACCCCAAGATACTTGAACTCCTCCACCTGGAGTAAGAACTTTCCTCCAACCTGTAGATGGCAAACCACCTTTTTTTCCGGTGGAGCACCATGGCTTCGGACTTGGAAGTGCTGATTCTCATCCCAGCCGCGTCACACTCAGCAGCAAACTGCCCCAGTGCATGCTAAAGGTCCATGTTCGAGGAAGCCTACAGAACAACATCGTCTGTGAATAACAGAGATGAAATCCTGTGGTCCCCAAACCAGACCCCCTCCAGCCCAAGGCTGCGCTTTGAAATTCTGTCAACATAAATTAGGAACAGATTTGGTGACAAAGGGCAGCCCCGCCGGAGTCCAAAATGCACTGGAAACAAGTTTGACTTATTGCCGGCAATGTGAACCAAACTCACGGACCAGACAGCCCTTAACAGGCCGCCTTTGATCCTTACTCCTGGAGCACCCTCCACAAAATCCCACAAGGGACATTGGTCAAATTCTTTCTCCAAATCCTCAAAACACAGGTGGACTGGATAGGCATACTCCCATAACCCCCTAAAGCACTCTGGTGAGGGTATAAAGCTGGTCCAATGTACTACGACCTGGACCAAAACCGCATTGTTCCTCCTGGATCCTCGGTTTAACCATTGGCCGGATGCACCCCTCCAGTACCCTGGCATAGGCGGAGGAGTGTGATCCCCCTCTAGTTGGAGCACACCCTCCAGTCCCTTTACTTAAAAATGGGAACCACCACCCCAGTTGCCCAGTCCAGAGGTACTGTCCCCAACGTCCATAAGAGTGTGTTTTTTTTTCATTTAATACAATGTACTTTCATTAGAGTCAGCAGCGCACACACAAATGTTGTGTTGCCCATAGTGAACACATCCTAATCTGACATATAAGAAAGGGACAAAGATGAATAAAATTATAATAGCAATTTTCTAGCACAAAAAAAAAAAAATGTTTGTGAATGAGGTTTTTGGTTCCTTTTCTGGACTTTGATCATTTCGTGGTCATTGCTTTAAATGAAGGATGAGAGAGCTCTCAGATTTACTCGAAAATATCTTCACTTGTGTTCAAAAGATAAAAGAAGGTTTTAGGTAATTGAAATGATATGAGGGTGAGTGATTATGACAGAATATCTGTTTTGGGTGAACTAACAGTTTAACAATGACCTCCTTCTGTCTGACCTTACTAATGTAGTAACAGTGGAGATCTGATGTGTTATTTATATGTTGTTCTGGGTGTCAGGTGATTTTTGTGGCCATCTTCTTCGCCATGATTCTGAGGCCTGTGGCAGTAGAGAACAATGAGGAGGTGGAGCTGCTCCTGCAGGGTGAGAACATTCACACCAACATTTATTTTAAAACTTGTTTTTTTGAACACTTCTCGTCCAGGGGTGTGTTTCCCAAAACCATCTTTAGCAAACTAAGGTCGCAAGTTCTGTCATTACAAACATAGTTTGTTAATTTGGCGTTTCCCAAATCCATCGCTCCAACGAACATTGACAAAACTGCTTCGCAAACTTGAGCATGTGAAACTACACCTCTGGAGCTGTAGTTAGAAACATAGTTCCTGGCTGTGTTCTGTTCCCACTTATCCCCCCATGCCCTATTCATTTAGAACATTCTAACATTCAAAGTTGGATTTATTAAAACTAAAAAGCATTAAGGTCACCTCTCTTAGGTGTAGTTTGCTTTCAAAGTATTTTTACAGTTCAGTTTTAAAAATCGTCATGTCTACAATTGCGCTCCCTTCGCAGTGCACTTAGAAAACATTGATGTCATTTTGAACACAGCCTCATGGCGAAAGCTATAGGTGACCAATCACTTATTCATTTATTAACTTTTCGCCTTCGTCCCTTTATTAATCTGGGGTCGCCACAGCTGAATTAACCGCCAACTTATCCAGCACGTTTTAGCAGCAGATGCCCTTCCAACCGCAACCCATCACTGGGAAACCCACACACACTCATTCGCACACACACACATACACTATGGACAATTTAGCCCACCCAATTCACCTGTACCGCATGTCTTTGGACTGTGGGGGAAACCGGAGGACCCGGAGGAAACCCACGCGAATGCAGGGAGAACATGCAAACTCCACACAGAAACGATGGGGTTGCCCTCTAAAGAAGTTGTTACTCCTCCCCGTTTAGAGCATCATTATGGGCGTTTTATGTTTTAACTAAAGTGGTTCAAGCGATGGATCTAATACAGAGAAAATACAGGTTTTGGGAAACACTCGTCACTACATCGTTCTTTTCCCAAAGGATGCATTGTTCAGCTGCGAGTTACGTCGTTGTTTGGGAAACGCACCCCTGACTGGTGTTTTCATTTATTTACAGAAAAATGATTTCCACTATAGACCATTTTAATGTGGCGATGTTGTCACTGGCCAATAAACATTTCCTGCTTGTTGTCAAACTATTTCATAACTGTATCAAGAGACAATTCAATCATATATTAATGTTAAAACTGCTATCATAACATTATTTATCAATATGTAGACTTTTTTGGATTCTTGGAAGCTATGAAAATTAAAATGCACCTAACCCTAACTTCTTAGATAGAAGTTCAAATTATACATAGTGTTGATCTTAAGAGCTCTTCACTACAGGTCAGTCTGGATACAAACTTGTGACCCGGTGACCTCTTTTCATCCTTTTCTTTAATTAACCTATGAAAGCAATGAATGGTTCTTTTGTTAAAGTTAACCAGTGACTTAAAAATTTACTCATCTGTTAGGATTTAATCTCAAGTTATCAAAACCTTGTTACCAGTCACACCAGAGATCTTGTATTACAGGGCACATTTAAGTCTGAGTAAAATCCATCCCTACAATAGTATTGAACATTATGCTAATGTTTAGGTGAATGATGTACAATACAGTTTGTACATTAATATTTTCTGTCTTTCAACCGCTTTTACAGAGCAAAAGGAGAAATGCGAGGAGTACTCTGGCAAATCATTATGCTGAATATTCAAAACAAACTAACTAAAGAGGAGGATTTGGACGAGCTGGATTTGTGAAGTCATCAAACTCACCCAACTTTATTCTAGCTTTGGTGTTGGGAACAGAAGATGCGGTTTTCAGAACTATTCATGAATTCTGTTGTAGAATTTATTTTTATGTTAATATTCAAGACAGCTATATGTACAGAAGTTTACTGAATTTAACAAACTCTGTTTTAGTCTACACTGGTGTAGTAGCAATGGTCAATAGTTCAGAACACTTTTTTGTTTTTTGGTTTGTTTTTTTTTATCAAATCAATAAACAAAAGTGAGTTTTTCCCTAATAAATCATGCCAGTAAAGTCATCTGAAAAATAAAAAGTTGTCAGCTATTAAACTAAGATATGACTATATATGAATATATTTACATTCTGGTGGTCAGTATCATTCTAGAGATGCTTATTTTTATGTGACTAGAAGAGCGTATTCTCACTCATATTTCGCTTGGTGTTTTGTAGTTGTGTGTCTGCTGTAATTGTTGAGCTTTGCTTAGTGTCATCTCAGTCTGTCAATCTAGATTATTAAAAACGTTGAATCACTATTCTTTCAACTCTATGAAATTAATTTTAGACATTCCATACAATGTGTTTTAATATGCCTCCAATAAAAATCTATTTTGCAGTCCTTCTCAGTGTCAATCAAGATGTATTTGACAATGTCCTTTTTATTAAGTCATATACAAAGTATACACTCTACTGGTACAAAAAGTACGCACTTTTAGATTACAGCAGAGGTGTCAAACGTATGGCCCAAGGGCCGGATCAGGCCCGCAAACGGGTTTAATCAGGTCCACGAGATGATTCTGTAAAGTATAAAAATGAGCTGTAATAAAAATACATGTAAATAAATAAATAGGCGACGCAGTGGCGCAGTAGGTAGTGCTGTCGCCTTACAGCAAGAAGGTCATGGTTTGAGCCTCGGCTGGGTCAGTTGGCGTTTCTGTGTGGAGTTTGCATATTGTCTCCGCGTTCGCGTGGGATTCCTCCGGGTGCTCCGGTTTCCCACACAATCCAAAGAAATGCAGTACAGGTGAATTGGGTAGGCTAAATTGTCTGAATGAGTGTGTATGGATGTTTCCCAGAGATGTGTTACAGCTGGAAGGGCTGCGCAAAACATATGCTGGATAAGTTGGTGGTTCATTCCGCTGTGGCGACCTCAGATTAATAAAGGGACTAATTCAGGAAGAAAATAAATGAATGATTAAAAAAAAAAAAGGCTTTTCTTTGTACCACAAGTCTCTCCCGAAGCACACGTTAATGACAGTGACCCAGTATGTGAAAATCTAGCTGGAGTCATTTTTTATTTATGTATTTTTGTAATTTACAGTTTTCTACATGTATTTAATATTAACTGAGTAAAACCATGTCAACAACTGAATCACAGGGAAATGAATGACTATTGTTAAACTATCTCAGAGTTAGATTTGGCCTGATTTTTTACACACTGAGTGTCAAATTGTAATTTGTAAAAAAGATGTGGTTCATATTCCAATGCAATATTATGATTTGTTTGTTAAGGATAAGTCAGGCACATAAGCATTAATTTATTACATGAAAAATAGTATTTGATACATTAATAAACAACATAATGCTCAAGTAAAGAAAATAAACTAGTAAATTGCAACTTTCCATATTTTAAATTAGTAATAGGCTATTTGAAAACTTTACTAGCAAATGTATGTAGCTAGTTTATGTAGGCCTATGTGCTGTTCTTTGTTTGTTTATTCAGATGGCAAAGTTAGTTAGTGTCGTCAGCAGTACTCTTTCAGTGTTTAAAGACAGAATTTACTCAAATGATTTCTAAGTTACTAAAGTTTACCGTACATTATCATCACTACAATATTATAGACTGAAAGATCCGCTGTAAATGCTGCTCTACGAGTGTAAAGATGTAAACACCGCAACTAAACTATTACCATTGTGTAGAATGTTTGCCGCATTTTGTGACAGAAATAACACACCGCTTTCTGACGCTACCTACCGAGTGCATCTATGTTACAGAAAAATGCGGAGGTTTTTTTCTATTCGCCGTGCGGTATCAAACGTTGCATTAAAACTACACTCTTCCAGCAGTTCCTTGTACGCAATATCTAGTTTGTCATGGGGGACATGCAAAAAAATGTTCCTGAATGAAAGTGAAAGTGCCAAACTGCAGTTAAAGTCCATGTATTAATAATTTGGCAAACTATTCGATAACTGATGCCTTTGTAAACAGTCACTGTCTTTCTCCCCTGCATCTGTGTGTTTGTTTTGCCTGGATATAAATCAGCGTGTGTCCAAACAGAAACTTCCACTTTCATGCAAAACCTTCCATCTTTCCCTCCCCCGACACTCCCACCTAAACAGAACTGGACACGCCCATTTTCCTCCCTTTTTCCAAATAAAGATCTGAAAACACCCTGCTGAAACAGGGGGGGTTTCGTAGCCCTTTTATTTTTTACATTTATGGTTCATATAAAATATAAAAATATTGTAGTTATATAAACGCTTCCCTCTGATCATGCAAGGATCATAATACATTGCACATTTGGTTTATTATAAAACACCACGTAAACCTTGTTAATTATTATTATTATTATCATTATTAGCCTATTATTATTATTATTTAGGCCTACAGTAGCTCGGAAACAATCATGCAAACCAGGTGCTGCTCGGACATGGCTATCTTTGCTCAGCATCAGGTGCACAGCAGCAAAAAGTTTGGCAGCGAACCAGACCTTATTTTAATGACAAATGTGTCTAATAACACAACTTATTTACTTTTTTTGTTAAGCATATGCAATAAATGTAAGCCTATTAACTGATCAAATGACAGAATATGTAACTTAGTTTATATATATAATGAAATATTAGGTGCTGGCCAGCAGAGGACTACTAGTTTGAAAGCAAAGTCATGAGCTCAGATTTGGTTGACCAAATTTAAGTCTTTTCTGTTTTCCAACCCTAAACAAAAAGATGTAAAAAAAAAAAAAAAAAAACGCAAATAGAGCCAAAATCTGTTTTTTTTTTTGTTTTTGTTTTTTTGTGATTAAAAAAAAAAAAAAAAAACAGAAAAGCAGCCGTTTGCTTAGTTTTCTTTTTTTGTTTGAAAACAGACATGGAAAGGACAGAAGATACCCTGATTATACTGTGCTCCTGTTAGGACAGAGGGGACGAAGCTATGATTTTGAAATATAGAAAATTTGAGCTCGTTCTGTAGTTTTGATCTGTGTGCCTGACAGATTTTGATCATTAATTGAATCATTTAACATGTTTCTTCAGCATTGAGTAACTATGGGAAGTGCACATAGTCTTACATACTTTTGTACACATGCCAAAACACATGGCATTTCCTTTTATGAACAAAATACTCATCTGTGTGTGATCTCATTTGAGGATTGAGCCACAATATATAAAATATAACACCTCAAATCAGTCAGTATTAGTTGTATCACTGCGCCCTCTAGTGGCTGTAAATGGTAAAATCAAACCCTATTTCACAAAAACTTTAGAAATTGATTCATTAAACCGTGATATCGTAATTTATACCTTCATTTAATCTTTGATTATTTGGTTAAAAAAACAGGAAGATTATGAGCAAATAGAATTTATTACATGGAATCAGATATGTTTTTAATTCAGATAAAATAAGTATCAAACACACCCAAACATTGCCAGATTTGTGTTCAGATGATTTAAGGGCGAAAACAAAACACAAAATAGTGTTATAAAGTTAAAGCAAACCATTTATATAAAACCTACTATACAAGCCTCCTTACTCTTCAAAACAAACGTAAGACTCATACATAGTCAATTCTAACAAACAAACAAAGTCGATACTAAATGATAAAACCCTCACCATAGAGAAGAATTAACTAGTGTACAAGCTGACAGAGGGAGCAGTGAAAGAGCAAGGCCACGGTGGAAGAGAAGGAAACTAAGGCAAACTCAGTGCAGAAAACACTAGAAACTGGAGACCAAACACTACGAGTGAGAATCAAATGAAGAAAGGCTGACATTTGGAGTTTCTCAAAACGCTCACAGACTTCACCACATTAACAGAACAAAAAACGAATGTTAGGACATTCTGTGCTCAGCTCACATCAGAAACAAGCAACCTTTGGTGTTCAGGTGAGAAATGCAGCACTATTCTTCACATTCCCTCAAATGTAACGTCTGAATGGTGTTCGGTCAATAGCAGAAGAAAAGCTGAGTCACTCTGAAAAACAACTGCGATCCACGAACACATAATCCATGACATCATACGGTCTTACGCAGGTTCAGTCATTCAAAAGAGTTCATTACATAGATCTGGGTGTAAATAAGGGCCAACAGGTTCTACCTGCTTTGCCTACAGGAGTCATACAGATTTCTGATTTGCTTGGGGAAATCTTTTAGACTTTTTCTTAAAACTGGGGAAAGTTAAGAGACATTTCATAATAATAGTCAGCTTATATAATGGATATATGCGCAGTCACTATAATTGAACTACTTTTAGCTGTCAGCAAGTCCCTCTATGCAAAGTGCTCCTCAATTTAAAAGATTTCTGTCAGTAGTCCATCATGTTTACCTAAAGGTCTGAAGTGAGTTTGTAGAAATATCTGATACTGCCATTCAAAAGTGTCTCCATCATTCCTTCTGTTAAATAACTAATATTATAATACACCTTCACCTGAAGAGAAGAGCTGTGAATATGGATTGAACTGTTCGAGCAATGTGTTCTGATGTGATCTGGATCTGTTTAGGTCTTCTTCTTGAGCTCCTCAAAGCGTCGCGACAGGTCATCAAAGTCGATGTCTTCTGAGGTGTTGGCCTTCGCTCCGAAAGAGGATGCTGGGAGTGTGTCTGGAACAGACGGAAGTTCGGGAAGGGTGGAGTTGTCATAGACCTGACCAGCTGGAGTCGGACCTGCAGAGAAAATAGAGAATCATTAAAAGAATATTATCATACCATTTGAAATAAAATCCGATTAGGATAGAGCACATACCTGGGATGACCTGGGAAGGATCAGAGGGTTTAATACACAACTCATCGATCTTAAAAAAAGATATGAAGACATGTTAACAACTACCAATACATTCACAACGCTACCGCTGCAACTATATAAATATATTAAATACATATTTGATCAAAATAAAATAAAACTGTTAGTCTAAAATGATCCAGCTGTGAGTAATGATGGAGCAGTGCATTGTGGGTTAGAACAGACACCCTTGTGAGCCCTTCAATGAATAGCGTCATTTATAAAAAGGTGCATTTGATGATGCTAAATATGAATGTGTGAATGTCACCCAGAAATGATCTATAAAACATTCATGCCCACAAAAATATGTGTAACCCTGGACCACAAAACCTGTTGCATGGGTATTTATTGAATAAATACAACCTGACAAAGGTATTATCATCAATCCCAGTTGTAAGAGCAACAAATAACAACTTGACTTCTAGTTGATCATTAGGAAAAGTGGCAGATGGTAGATTTAGATTCAGATGAATCATCTGTTAAATTGCATCCCAAATTTCAATCATCACAAATACTGCACAAGACCTATTAGAACCCACATGGAGCCAAGATTCTCACAGAAATCAGTCAAGTTTGTTGAAGGAAAAACCATGGTTTGGGGTTACATTCAGTAAGGGGGAGTGTG